GTGTAGCGTATACGTCTGGTATAGTAAGTTTGCTCCATCATATCATTTTGAGGTTTTGCGAAAGCGAAATGTGTCTGAAGAGAGTTTCCTGCTGTGGTAGTGAAACAGCATCAACAGGTGTGCAACTTACAAAAGTCGTTCAAATGATGGAGATGAACTTACACAAATGCATGGTAGATGAACGCCCAGGTTCTCGGTCTCTCCAGCACGTTGTACAGGTAGTTTTGGAGACGCCGGTAGCGCACATTCCTCCGGCCGCTCTGCGCGCTGTATATGAGCGGCTTCCCCAGCAGGCTGAGCCGAGCTCCCTGCTTCCCCCGCAGAGTGTCGGACCCGGCAGCACCTGCTGCGGCGGTGGCTGAGAGCAACCCGTCTCCGGCGTTGTTCATCATCTTCCGATCGGATTCCACATCTTTCAAGCCGTAGCCTTCGCTACGGTGCCCCGGCGATGTCCTCATCCAGAGCCCGGTGCCGCCTTCATCTCCGCTGTGGTTCCGGGGCATGGCATCACCAAAGCGGGCATCAAGTGCGCGTAGTTCTTTTCAAGCATGCGTGTAGAGCTGGGAGCTGCACTAAGTCTCACACGTGTATAGGACGCAGAAGGGGCTGAGGGTGAAACGGTCGCTGTTTACAGTCACACTTTGACCGCCCTATTTTCTACTCCCCACTTGAGCACATTTACACAACTGCCTCCGCGCGTAAAGGCATCCACCGCGCGCGTCTTGCGTGCTGTGCTATCCAGTCCGACAAATCACAAAGTTATAGACAGAGTGTGTTTCCTCATGATCCGAAGGGAAAATGTGTTCAGCAATAATTTTCAGCAAGGGCTTTGGTCGTCGTGCGCTTTACCGCCTGTTGCTTCATGCAGCGCTACGCGTCCACGGCAGATGCGCATCTGTGCTGATCGCGCCTGCGAGTCACTTTATCTTCATCCTTCTGCCACCATAAACTGTTTAATCATTTTATTTCCACATAACTTCATAAAAATGCTTTCAGTGTCCAGGACATTTTTTTTCTACATTATTATGATTGCAAATGAAAAACGTCGCTCATCATTTCATTTAATTTCCCGAAAACTTCCAAATCAAACCACGTCTACGAAAAGCCTATCAGGTAACATGGATTCGAATGAATTTTCCCCTTTGGTCGGCTGGAAAAGTAACCACTACGGACGACCCATTGAACATCTGCAGAAAATATTATGCCGAGATCAAAATCATTTGTAATTCAGAGAAGCCATCTTAAAATTGAGATATATGTGTTCTGTAATTATGGTTTTAATAAAGGTTATATGATGTCATGCATGTAAAAGCATCTCCCTATTATTTAAAGAGATGTCACATCTGTTCTCCTGCTGTCACTGTACCCAGGTGGCCATAACACTTTAGCATTTTATTTGGAGCCTCTCTCTTCACTGATGTCTAGGTGATGCATTGATATTGCTTTAATATGATCAAATGTGCTTAGAATTATCTGGTGGGCCATTATTATCTCGATGTGAAGTCATTTGTCAGCAAACTGTGAGCTGAATGAATCGAAAATACAGCTTCCTTTGTGCTACCATAGCCTCAAGTGAAAGAGGCGCGCGCGCTGGTAGTGTGTGTGTGTGTGTGTGTGTGTGTGTGTGTGTGTGTGTGTGTGTGTGTGTGTGTGTGTGTGTGTGTGTGTGTGCGTGTGTGTGTGTGTGTGTGTGTGTGTGTGTGTGTGTGTGCGTGTGTGCGTGTGTGTGTGTGTGTGTGTGTATTTGAGAGGAAACGTGCAAAACTCAGGTTTGACAGCCTCGGAACACTGACTGAGCAACTCCCTCTCTCTTCCAACAAATTACGCCACCTACCGGCGGCTGCATGCTGCAGCAGGAGACAACAATCTCCAGACACCTGTGCCAGTATTCACAAACATTCAGAAAATCCTCTTAGAGAGCTCCTAACTCTCCTTACACAATCCCGAGAAGAAGTCCTAGCTTAAGAGTGATTGGTTGATCCAAACAATTGAGAAAAAGAGTGCTCTTTTCGTGATAATATATCATAATTTTATCAGACATTGTGTAATTATGAACACTATCAAATTAACATCTCTGTTGAATAGATTGTAAGCTGAACTTTAAAACTATACAACATGTTTGAAATCACATGCCCTCTTTAATCAGTGATTAGATACACCTGTGGAGTAAACCACACCAAGAAGGACTCGCCTGTGCATGTCTCTCTTTACTCTGAAAAAGTCATAGATGGATTGCAATGTTTACATGCATTATTTTTGTCTGTTCATTCAGTGTTTGGAGAACATTTCTCAATTTCCTCCTCAGTTTGAGGAACTCCTTAAGCCTGTCAACAGTCCTCTTTATTACTCACTACAGTTCCTCATCTTAAGAGCTCTCTTTGAAGGCTAAGATGCTTAGTGAATAACTTTCATCTTCACAAGGATCTAGTTCTACCTTCAGGGGGAAATTTGTACAAAATGTTCTGATTCAAAGAAATTTCTTAATTGTTTCACTGTAAATTGACTTGTACAGTGCCTTTCTAGTCTTCTGACTAATCAAAGTGCTTATACACCGCATGTCACACCTTTTTTTTTTTCTGAGTTTAAATTTTTGTGCAGTTTGCTAAAAAAAAAGTCAATCTGATTGTAAGTGACATTAATTCTTTCTGGGCACTATAGCTCACATGAAGTTCTGACGGTCAAGGATGTGATAATTAAGCCTCTCAAGATGATGTTGTGTTCACTGACTTCTCTCTGTTCTCTCTTCATATCTCTTGACTGTGTGCCTTTGCTTTGCCCACATCTGAAGAACACTGTGCCTTCCTTGGAGCCGTGGCAGCCCATCAAATCTGACGTTTCTCTCCCTAAATTAAACCACATGATTAAGTGAAATAAAAGTGAAATGAGTGTATAAAAATCATTATAATGTCTGCCTGTTAAGTTTTGTATGTGCACTCAGTGCTAAAGTCTATACATGGAGATTACTTGTATTCTTCTTCAAGCCTTTAGTACATTAAATTGCTGTATAAAATAACCTCATGGTGATCAGGCTGTTCTTTTCTTTTATCCAGAGTTTGGATAATCCCTTTAGTGTGCGTGCGTATGTTATATGCCCTAACCACCTCCAGGGACGGGGGGGGGGGGTCTATTGCACCTTTATTTTGGTTGTCGTGAGCTGAACAGTTTGGGAATCCCTGGGTCAGAACTTGTGCCCCATGTGCAATCACCACTTTCCTCGCTGTTGTCCTGGGTTCGAGTCCCTTTATTTTCCAAATGTCCCCCCCCCCCTTTGCTAAACATTTCCTGTCCCTCTTCGTTGTCCAAATGAAATAAAGACAAAAATGGACCAAGAAATATCTTTTTTTAAAAGTGAATTTTCCCAAAGTCTTTCTGTTTACTTTGATCAACTAGGTTTGTTTTTGGAATGCCATCTTAATACATAACATTAAAGATTTCAGAACTTCATAATGTTATTTTTTCCTCTTTCTGTCACGGTTTGCGCTAACGTTTAACCTTTGACCTGATTAGATAGATTAATCCATTTCCTGGGAGCAGCATGGAAACTTCATCTTGACCTGTGACTTGTGTGATCTTTGGTTTTTCCTTACCGCCATTATCTGTGTCCATACTTTGAAACATTGGAGGTCGTGACCCCTTGATGCTGTGACGAGGGGAACATGGGGGCCCAGCTGGCACTGCGGGCCTGGTGCGAGGGAGGTTAGTGCAGATTGCCTGCAGATGTTTTTGCAGGGGGGCCCGCTATACTTATTTGACAAGAGGATGTGGAATATAAATCTCTCAAGCCCTTTGCTGCACTGTATCATATGTGAGGTCACACATGAGGCCATTATGGCCCAACTTCCTCTCCATTGAGGCGCTCTGTAGCACCAAAGACAGAGTTATTGTGTGAGATTCTAGCAGTACTCAGTTATCATCTGCTCTAATCAACAAAGATGAGCTCAAACCTTTTTTTTCTGTCCAGAAAAATAAGAACAGCATAAGAAAGAGAGAGAGAGGGAAGACCCTCCACCTTATGGGAGGATACGAGTGAAGACATTTCATCTGAAGCTTGTTCAAATTGAAAGGGGGGCAACTGCACATGTAGCTCTAGTGGATGCTGGGTTATTGTTCTTATCTTTGTGATCAATGTTAGCATCATCCAAAGCTCCATCCAAAGCTTTTTTACATTTTCATGTCTTTCATACCCGAGATAATAGAAGTCCGACTTGAACACCTTGCTTCGGCTCTACTGAGCAGTCTGTGACAACACCACAGTGTGGAGCCTTTGATGGATCCTAGAGGTGAGACGCTCCAGTCAGCACTCTCCTAGTCAGTCAGATTTAAGGAGTGACGGAGGGATGTCAACAGGATCACATATAGGTGACTTACGAAAAGTTCATTTTGCCCGAGTGGGCAAATAAAAAACATTTGTCTTAGATTTCAGCTCCACTTCCTGATAGTCACAGTGAGGTACTGTACGTATATATTTAAACTCATTAAGATGTTTGTTGGCCCTGCTGAAACAAAATTCTTTCCAGATGGAAATGCACTTTGTCCACTTCAACACATTGGTCATTTTTTTTTTTTTTTTTAGCACTTAATGTACTTTAATTTGCCAACACACATTATTTGAAGATCAACACATCCACTGCTTCGGTCAGAAAATATAGGACTCCTGTTGCCTGTTGCTCTGTGACTATCTCTCCCTTTTTATAAAGATAAACTTTATTGATCCCCCATGGGGGAATTTTTTTTGTCACAACAGCTCAAGAAACAGGAATATAATTATCAAAAATAACAAGAAGTTAAAAATCCAAAATGTATGTTAAATGTGGTCAAATGACTTTGTTGTTTCTTGATTTAGTCCATGCCTTTACATCGTCATTATTCAGTGGTTTTCTACAGATGTTCCTGTATACAGCTGCTGAGATTAGTTCTATAACTTCGACCCCCTGGAATTCTAAAACAAAACAAGGACTGTAATCATTTCCACTTGGAGATACAGATACGGGCAAGACACTGAAATGAAAGCAGGTTTCTTCCACACATTCTTTTTATTTGTAAATAATAAAAATGAACTCTTATTTTTAATATAAAACATACACATCATTTGAGCCACATCTGTTATACAAACAAGAAATGTTGCAGTGAATGCTTTACTCTTTTCTAATTTTCTTTTTTGTTTCGGTGGAACACAGAAGTTGTAAACAATCAGCTATTTTTTTTTTTCTGTTAATACTGACAAAAAAAAAAGAGAGAAGATAAACCAGCTTTACTGGACGATAAAAAGAAAAAGTCAACTCCTGTGAAGTGTGACTGACGGTTCAGACATTGAGTTTTGAAGCACACAGAAGTGTTCAGAAGACTGTTCGGCGCAGTGGGACACCTGTAGATTTTTGCAGCCGCGCATGAAAGCACGGCCTTTATTGTGAACCAAGTCCATCGCCTCGTGTTGTCCCACTGCAATGGTCCCTTACAGTATATTAATCGCTCCACAATATATGACTTTGTCCCTTTGCAAATGAGCACTGAACCCATTGAAAACCCAGTGAATGGCTTTTGAGTATTTACAGTTTATGACTCTCTGTGCATCTTTATTGATTCTTTATATAACTCAACGGTTCATATGTTATTATATCTGAAATCATTATGTTGAAACATAATTCATATTTCCATATAAGTGGATCTGATTTGTACATATTTATTCATACATTATGTCAGCCCCTTGGAGGTATACTATGAGGTGGAACAACAGTAGAGGGCTGTGAGGTCTGCTCAGTGTGACTGAGCAGTACAGTACATCTTCCAGAGGGTCAAGGGAAAGACATCAACGTAATCTTGGGATTAAGTTACGAGCGACATTCAGCACCGGACTGAGGGACGTGGAATAGACTGCAGTTGATTTCAAAAATGTCTTTTGCGTAATGGGAATGGCTTCGGTTTCTTGGTTTTATCTCTTTAATATTCAAGTACGAGCAAACTGTACAACTGCATGCAACATACAAGCGGCCCTACAGTATGTGGAACTAACACACGTATTTAGATCAGTATCTTTTTTTTTCTTGTATCTGTTTCGATTTACAAAAAAAATGTGCATGCAGCTTTGAACAGGTTTCCAAAGTCATGCTGGCTCCACCTTTTTTTCCTGGTGGGCGGAGCCTGCGGGGGGCCGAACGGAGGATGAGCATTGGTGTTGGTGTCCCGACAGGATCAGTCTGGGTTGGTTTACTTTCACATTCACAGAGATGCACATCGGAAACTGTTAGCGACTCTTTTTTTTGTTTTGTTTCCTCTAGCATCTAATTCAAGAAAATGAACAGAAACAGTGATGGGGTTGCTGCTTTTTTTCGTATTTTTTTTCTTTTAATCTATTTTTTTTTCTCAAAAAGTTAAACTTTTTGTCGTAAAAAAATCAAGCTCTTGTGCTCAAGGTCAACTAAGGGCTGGATAGAAACCTGAAACGTGCCGGGGTGAAAAAATTAGACGCTCCCATAATGTCTCTTTGCGTTGATGAACAAAGACTTCCTATTTATTTTTTTATTCTTTTTAGCTTTTTACAGTGATGTTGAACCCTTGTGGCATTTCAAAGTGACATAAACTTCATTTGTAGGTCAACCAATTTACATCTATACAAAGACAACTGGCCCCGACATGTGCCAGCGGTGGAACAAGGAAAACAGCGCTGCACGCTAATCTCACTGTCAAGTGTAAAAATCTAAGATGTGCCATCGTTTTCAGCCCCTCCCCCCCTGCATAACACTTGCAGACATTTAATAGATTTGATATCCTTTTTTTTTTTATCTCTTGTGTTTAGTTTTATTTTTTTTAATCTCCATGCACACACCAGACTGACAAAACTATCATGAGCATTTTATGCACTGTAAAAACCTTTTTGTGCCAGTAGTAACAAAGGGAAAAGAAAATGAACGACAAAGCAATCACGCTAAAACGGTGTGGCGTCGAGCAACCACGGTAAACATAATGAAGATTTGTCTTTGACAGAGAGGAGGCCAGTGATGTGGCTCTAAGGTCTAGGCACCAGAAGAAGGCCCTGTGCTTCCAGACTGAACACCCACGTGGGAGCACCCTGCCTGGGGGGGGGGGGGGGGGGCGGCAGGATGTCGGCAGTCTGTTGGGTTCTGGAGGAGGCCACTGCAGAGAGGACTGCGCCCCCTGCAGGTGTGGAGGGTGATTACCGCTTCACTTACATTCCGATGCTAATGTACATTTCTTTGCTATTGTTGATTCAGTGAAAAACCACCCTGTTTCGTTTGATCTCCAATCTCGAGAGCGACTGCTCAACCAGCTCTGCTTCTCCATCGTACACAGAGAAAAAACTACGAGACTTTTTTTTTCTTCTTTGAATGATAATGAAACACTGAAATGTGGCGCTCTCTACAACGGACAAAAAATAACCACGACAGAAGTGATTGTCAGATCTCAGCAAAGCTTTCTCATTGTGACTGTTTCTGATTGTTGTTGTTGTTCTACATCTCCGCCATCTTTTCTTTTCCGTGTTTGTTTCCCTCTCTGCAGAACATTTCATAGTTTGTTGTCGAACTTTTTCAAGTGCGTGCAGAGCAGTCGGTCCACTAGGATCTGACTCCTGGAGGTCCGGAGGAGCTGTCAAGTGACGACTGGGAAGCCCGCCGCGTCAGTGAGGCAAGTGTCGGATCCACCAATGAGGATGGTGGGAATAATTTGTACCAGCCAATGACTGTGCTTGATAAGTCTAGTTCCTCCAATAGGATTTGTGCAACTCCCATGAAGCTCTTATGGTCCATTCGGCCATAGTCCCCCCATACAATCACCTGAAAGGAGGGAACATTTTTTTTGTCAAATTACAGCGGGTGAATTTAGGGCTGGACAATATATCGAGTTTTTAAGATATATCGATATATTTTCAAACAAGATAACGGGTAAGACAACATCGTTAATATGGATATAGTTTATGTTGCATTAAAATAACGGTCACCTTTTTCTCATCTCACTGATGATGACTGACTGTCTGTTCCTCTTAACCCTGCTCCTCCTCTCTCTCTCTTTTATTGTATTTAAAGAACATTTTTATTTTATTTTATTACTATTTAAAGTCACAAACAGGTAGTTTATTTTCCATGTGTTTTCACTGTTAATAAAATACATATTGATATATATCGAGTATCGCCATTCAGCTAATCAATATCAAGATATGAGTTTTGGTCCATATCGCCCAGCCCTAGGTGAATTCCTCCTGATATATTTGATTTATTATTTTACCTAAGAGCTCAACACACACTGCAGGTTAGAAAAACATAAGCAAATTAAGAGCACATCTCAAGAGCACAAACTTAAAGAAAATTAAGATGCTTTTTTTTTATTTATTTTTTTTTTACTCGATGTGCTTGTTTTTTTTAATTTGTCAATTAGTAAAGTTTTAGAAACTGTAGTCCAGAAACAGTTTTTTTAAAACATCTCTTTTTAACCACTCCAACTGTACATTCTGTTTTTTTTTTTCCCTTTGGCTTTTGACCTTTATTAAGAGGACAGTAGATAGAGTAGGAAATCAGGAGCGAGAGAGAGAGAGAGAGAGAGAGTGGGCAATGACATGTGGGAAAGGAGCCACAGGTTGGCACTTGAACCCTGGCTGCCCGATAGGAGGACCACAGCCTCCGTTCATGGGGTGGGACCTAACCACTAGGCTATCAGCGCCCCTCAAACTATAAATTTAAATTAAAAAAAAGGTTTAAACTTAACAACGTTGCAATGTGTCGAGCTCTCAGGGCCACTTTCATTTCAATAATATGAAAGTGAAAAAGCACATTTCATTTAGTGTTGAAGAGAAATATGTTGGGCTCACCTGTAAGACTTTACCCTGTGGACTTTCTTCGAATAGCAATGCTTGCTGGTACAATGGGTCAAGTGTTTTCCGTGCAATCTTTGTTTTCTTTTTGGCTACGTACGCTCCATTATTCAGCAGATAGACTTTGACGTATGGAGCTGAAGGTAGAGACAAAAAAGCAATAAGTGAGGAACACAGCAACTCGCCAATTTAATCCAAACCACATCTCAAATGGATGTTTATTTTAAGGAAAGGATTATCTTCAGCTGAGTGTATCTACGGGATGTAACAGGATATCCTACAGTATAATACATATAAAAGTGAAGAGGTAGGGTTGATGTCTTGAGAAGAACAAACAGATTAATGTTCTGTTGTAAACAAAGGGCTCTGGCCTCTCACCAGGGAGGGATTTGGATCCTGGCTTTTGAACGAGTCCTCGAGCTCGGATGACTTCCACTTCAAGCTGACCCTTCTTCTCCATCATGCCGATCTGGATGTCACCTGTGAACCACCGAGAAGTGTAAATATGGTCGGTTTAGTTAATCAGGAGGATGCAGAGCAAAAGCTGCTGACAGCTGCCGGATGAACATACAGGAAGTAAGTTGAGAAGAGAAAAAAAGGGGGTTTTGTGGTCGTGACTGCAGGCTGAGCCAATAAGAATATTTGATAAAAAATATATCATAAGGGATCTTATCATGTATAAGGTGTGTGAAAAGTGTTCTCAGTGCTCAGAGCTTTTTGAGGCTTATCAACATGTGCAAACAACTGTGTGAATATGTTGAATAATATTCTATTAGAGGTGCACGATGCATTTTTTTTCAGTTCCAACCTGATACAGATATTTTTTAAAACCATAATTAATAATGTTATTAATTATTAATTATGTAACCCAGCATTGCATTGTGCTGGCTTTCGGTACAAACAGGAAGCAGCAACAGCTGTCAGATTTATTTATTCTAATATAACGTAATAACTCAAATGTCGTCCTCTGATACTGAATGTCTGTGAGCTAGAGATGCTGCTGCCTGATACGTTTAAGGGGCATCCATGGTGTGTTTTTATACTTGAAATAATTTCATTTTTCTTCATACACTTCTATTATTATTTATGTTTATAGTATTTTGATGTGCAGTGTTAATTCCTACATGATGAAAAAGTATTTTATTTATTTTCTTTCCAATTTAAACTATATAAAAGCAATCAATACTTAGATCAACATGCTGAACACAGAGAAACTATACAGCTTAATAACATTTAACAAACATCATAACAACAATACAAATAAGTATAACATAGAAAATAAAAAACGCATTAGAGTCAATAAAAAAATAACAAACTATAAAAGACAAGTCAAAAGTTTGGCAGAAGTTGTCTAAAAAATATCACTTGATAGAAATGAAAAAAATATATATATATATATATAATAGGAATATTAAAAAATGATTGTTACAGTGAGATCTCAGAGGTTAGAAGAGGACTATAGATCTTACCTATAGCAGGAGTAGCCAGAGTTTGCCTCCCCACTAACTGAGCCGGTCCCAGGCCGTCCAGGAAGTCACTGAACTGACTGCTGGCCCCCAGATTGACTCCAGAGAAGATCAAACTAACAAAGAGAACACACACTCGTGAATAGAAAAATCACCAATCTAATTTATACAAAAACAGTGATAGCAGTGACTTTTGATTTTGAATACAGTGGAGGTACTCTGAGATGTCAGAGGTCATTTTGCTGCCTTCAGGGGAACCAGTTATCTAATACCTTAAATATTACCCAAGTGTGATAATCCATCACAATAACCATTGTTTTAATGTGTTCTCTCCTCCTGACAAGTTTTTGTTTTCCTTTTATTATGCAATTTTGGAAAGTATCTTTGAGTATTTTTATGAAAAGCACTGAATCAATACATGATAGCAATATTATTTTAGACATTCTGTCACTTTTTGTGTTTTAGTGACGCCTCACTGAGCCTGAGTTCTTTTAACAGTGTGCTCATTATATCACACTGCGTGCACCGTCTGTCAGCTGACACACCCAGGACAGGAAGGTAAAGCCGGATGTAAACCCTCAGAACATTTAAGCAAACACGCTCACATGTCATCTCTACATTGTTTTAAAGTGTGATTTATTTATTTCAAGCTTCAGCACCTTCAACAGGGAAACATTTGCCATTCAAAACAGAGGGTAAAAATTTATTTTAGTAAGTACTGAAGCTTGAAACACACAGAAATGTAAAATATTTCTTTTTCGCACTTTGAATGTAAAGTAGATGAAGTAATAAATGGAGTGTCACTTGGTTTTCCCCTTTTCAGATAGAAATCTGATGATAAAAGAGTAAGATGTAGAAAAGAAGGCAGACACAGACAGGAAGTGTGCTGTTTACTCACTTCCCCTCAGAGTTGCAGCTGTTCATGCTGCCGTTGTTGGACTCTCTGCTGGGCTGCCGGCTCATGTTGCGGGTCAGCTCCACTGCCATGCCGGTCTCTGTGCTCCTCTGGATGGGTGCACCTTTCTCCTTTTTACTCTTCCCCTCTGGAGGAAAGAGGAGAGACAGGACAACAATGTTATATTCAGAGATGCCACCATACTCATTTTTAACCTTTTTTTTTTAACCTCGATATGTTAATGACCTCGCATTTTAACCTGTCCAATTCTGATTGAGTTCACTGAAGGCCCATGTCTCATGAAAATAGCATCGAAAAAAAGGCCAATGATGGACACTGACTTCAAACCACAGACTTATATCTTAAATGAAAAATGTTTATCCTAAATAATTTGAGTCTTTTATCGATCTTGTCGGTCGAGACTTCTCTCTCCCATATGCCCTGATTTGTGGTACCTTGAGCCCTTTTTCATTTCATTTCATTTCATATTTGATTTATTTTTCATTTGTATATATATATATATATATATATATATATATGGTTTTTATCATGTTTTAGACAGCTTAATAGTTGTCCTTCTCTTAGCAGTTCATTGTTAATCTGTGTGTCATAATGGATGCTGTACCTTTGGGTACAAATGAAGTCACTTGAACCTGACTAGTTTGGAAAATGTGCATATTGGCTCACATAAGAAGTCAAATGCCATCAACCATGTGTCAGTAGTACAGCCAGCTAACATCTATCTTATCTCAGCAGAAACATGATGTCTTTAGATGAAATCCAATCACACGATGCCACGGCATAAAAAACCAACGTGTAAAAAAAAAAGTTTGTGTTCCTGTACGATTGCAATACATACATTTTAGTCCTCTGCTTTAGTATGAATTGATAACAGAAGGTCTAACATGTTAATCGGTTAACATAAAGGAAGAATGTTGTGATCCAGTAGATGTCGCCCTTGAGCACCAGCACAAAACCAAAACAAACTGCTGTTTAGTGACACCTCCACTATTCTGAAGCCTCCGCTCTCCTCCAGCAGCACACCCCCAACCCCTCTCCACTCACGGTCGCATCGAGGAGTAACCTATTAGAACGAGCCATAATTAAGCACCATTAAGAGCTAACGCTGGACTAAATTGTCCTTGGCTTCAAGCTGCAATTGCCTGTGGCCTGCATTTCTGTGTAAAATGTCGCACATTCTTCCTTTGACCGCTATGCAGATTTGAACTTTGGATAGGGTCAGGCTCGCTGTTTGTACAGAAGTCTGTGAGAAAGTGATCCTTTGAAATGGATCTCGTACACCTGTTAATATGTTTCTAATGACTCAAAAGTCTAAATGTCAAACAACTCCTTTTTAATACAACATGAGCATTTGGCAAATGATTGTCCTGATCAGATCAAAACAGACAAAAAAAAGTTGGTTGAAGCGCAACTAATTCATGATTGACAAGCTGCTAAAACCGGAAAAAATAGTTTTGGGACTGAGTGACACTCTGAAGAACTATCATGATCATTGTATTAATAATTACGTTTTTTTAAAGGATGCTAGTGATGCTAGGATTGAGATCCCCTCTCAATCTGTTCCTCAGTTCATAGACAAGATGTGAAGGGCAGAAATACTTAACCAGAGGCTTTAAGTGGCAACATTAGGGAAACCCTCTCACTATTAAACTGTATTCAGAGGCTGAGTATACTAAACTATACACATTTTAAAACAGAGAAACATCACAAAATATCATTCTCAAGAATGATCGAGAATGGCAGCAGTTTACAGAGCAGATTTATCAATAAGCGTCAGATCCAGTTCAGGGCTCTGCAATAACTCTCTCTGAAGTATGGCCAAAGTTACACCCATGCCCTGCTGAATCCACTTGTCAGAAGTAAACAGGAAATTGTTGGGCACAAAATAAACCAGCAAAAAATACTTTGTGACATCTACTACTGGGATGCAACTGCTTTCTGACACATTGTTTTTGTTTTTCTGAGCCACCCATTAAATGATATTCATATATACAGTACATGCTTAGCAATGGAGAAAAACATTACATCTAGCAGGTATAAGAGTTTGAGCAATATGTGACCTACTTTTAAAATACAAATAATAATAAACCCATCATTTTGTAAAAATTCAAGATCACAGACAATATCACCTACTTCCACTCTAATCCATCATGAACAGGATATTTTTTTTTCAAATGATTCACATTGTTGCACTATCACAGCTGCCTTATCTCTTCATCAGGGGGGGAGAGGGCAGGAGACCCCTTAGGCTTAGTGTTCTCTAATAGCTTTTTATGTCCACTACAAAGAAGACATGAGTGCATTGTTTGGCTTTCATCTTGAGTCTTTACACCCTCTTTCTGGTAAAAGTGCATTCTGGACTCTGTGTGGCTGGAGGGCTCTCAGCTGACCCACCATGTTTCTAAAACTCTGTGAAACATATGATTAGGTTGTTTTTGCTTTCATAACGAGCACTTGCAGAGGTCTGTTTTTTCCAAAACAAAGGACAGTTACTCTTTTGGTAGAGTCACAAATCTTTTTGTATATGCAAGAGAACTATCTCTTTATGTTGTTTTAAAATCAGTGCAGATTCTAGAAAGTGTGTCTAATCTGAGGTGCTATGAAACTTATGTCCTTTGAATTTGATTGTAACATGGCGTTTAAACGACATAACGCTGTATTTTATACAAGGTCTGGTGAAGGTTATGGTAAGATTGTGGCTTACAGAAAGAAAACAAAACACTGATGAAATCATCCATCACAGCTGCATCTGTATAGGCTTCATACTGTTTCATAGCCGACTGTGTTTTCCTTTGGTTGACTTCCTCAACAACAATGATGGACAAAGTTTGCCATTCAGGCTGCATCCGTCTTGTTTTTTCTTTTTTGTGGCAGGAAGTGACCATATTTGGACATGATGGGGAAAAGGGGGGAAACGCACTGCCACATCTTTATCCTAATTTCCAGCTCACCTTCTAGCAACATGTAAATCAAAAGGTAGCCACTCCCTTAAAGTAACACCCTGCCTGCACTGTCATTCATTTGACACAACACGTTTTGATGTTATTATCTTTGCCCAGTGTTTGCTAAATGTGAAACCAAATGCTATTCATGGTGCTTTTTCTGTAGCTCAAAAAACCCCAATGTGCAAACATGTAAAGAATGGGTTTGGCTGTTTTTGGATGGATTTTTTTTGTTGTGTCTTTGAAGAAACGATTTCTGGAAGAAACATCTGAAGATTGATTTGAGTAGAAGTGGTTGAGACAGCTGTCTTTAAAGGCTTTATATGTGATTTTTTTGATCCAGCAGATGTCGCCCTTGAGCACCAGCATGAAACCAAAACAACTTGCGCTGCATTGTTGTGTTAGCATGCTAATGCTAGCGATCTTTATTATGCTGGTATCTTCACACTGCATGTAAATTTACCTGAAATGAGCGTGATCTAGAAACACAGTTAAGCAGTGAGTACAGTATGTTATTTTCTTTTCTCTAGTCCCTCAATTAAACAACTTTTATACATGAGGGGAGGAGGCTGTCCAGGCGATGTAAACAAACACAATTACAGCCATCTTCAATCCTTAATATGATCTTCATAAAATGCTTTAAAATCGTCTCCCTGACTAGTAGAGGCTGAACTATCTGTAGAGATTCTGCAGACATGACCATTCAGAATGTGCACCTTTCCAATAAATTCAACATTCGATTGATGAATTTGAGATGCATAACAACATTTACTGTCTGTCATCTTTTTGGTTGAATGAATTTCTCACCTTCATAAACACATCTACCCACTGGACTTTAAAGTCAAAACTGAACATCTTGGGGGTTATCATTGCAACTCACCAGGGCCGCTGATCTGTGACGTGCTGCGGCTCCGACGGTTGCCAACGATGGCCACGACCCGCGCGCTGAGGCTGGAACGTCTCTTCTTGCTGCCGCCACCGACCGTACCCAGCGCCGTGTCTGATTGGCTACCGTCAGTGCGCTCCTGTGTGTAGATCTCTCCGCTCACGCTTGAACTCTTCAGCATGCTGCGGCCCACAGATCGTAAACGGCGACTGCAGAGAGAGGACACTGAGTGACTTTGTGATCTGAGGGAGTGCAGAGGGTATCATTGAGACCTCTGTAACCCTCTCTATACTGTACCTTCATTTAAGGAGAACACATAAACATGGCCGACAAGAAGTGGAGACTGACAATATATTTAATTTGACTGTGGTTGAGGAATTAATTAAACAGAATATGAAACAAATCCTGATGTGTAAACATCTGGGAATGCAAAGCAGAAAATACTGATGACAATGAGGATCTTTTCTTTTTCAAAGGTAGCCAAAGAATTGCACTTTTTCATTTTATAAAAAGAATTAGTGAAATGAAATAATACTCAAATATATTGCTGATGGTCAAATTAAGAATGAAAGTTCAGTCTTCTCAAACGAGCCACTAAACTCGGGCCCAAGCCCACAAGTCCTCTCTCCTGCCTCCTAGGGGTTCTGAGGAGAAAGCGCATGTCCATCCCCTCAGAGGGGGTCAAAGTGCTGCAGGAGATCCCAGCTAAGCTACCCGTTTCCCCCATAGTCTCCACTCCCTGTGCAGCCCTGGCAGCCACAGACCAGTGCCCCAGAGAAGCCAAGGAAGAACTGGGAAGAGGGAGGGTGGTTTGAGGCCTCTCCTCTGCCCCCTGCTGGGGGGTTAGGGAAGGGTATGCAGCAGAGGGGGAGGTACGGAGGGGAGGACCCAGGTCTGGAGGATGGAGGGGTTCCGGGCAGTCACAGCACAGGATGCATGCAAGGAGGGATCTGAGACATGCAGAGGGGATTGATGGCACAAACATACACACAGATACACAAACACAAGCACAGGAAACAAAGGGCAAATCAAACAAAATGAAAAACAACATAGTACCCAGTGCAAAAATAAAACATGTACTTGAACAAATACTTATAGGTAAGTCGAACCGAAACAAACTGTGTCAATTGAGTTGTTTTGTTCTGGTTAGAATACAGTGAAAATGTAAAAACTCTTTAAAGCTTAAAGATTAAAGCTGAAAAAACTACTCTGTTTTATTTTTGTGTGGTTTGATTATTCAACTTCTTTGAAATACATAATTTTCATCAATTTGTACTTACCATTCAATGATTGCAATGAAAGGATAATTGATTATAGATTACTTATTTGGGTACACAAGGTAATGTGAACAGCATCCAAAGAATGATTACAAATTAGGGAACAGCAGTTTTATATAAAATACAGGCATAAGAATCAGGGCGTAAAGATTTAAGAACATAGATTTGGTAAAAAAGCAGAAGATACATGAAGATAAAACCTGTGCCATCTTTATTTTCTTTCTTCTGTATGCACCCGGTTTCTTCCAGAACTATCATCTAACAGGCCTGAAGCCTCAATACAGATATTAATATCCAGCTCGGAGTTCAAACTGACCTCAGACCAGCCGGCCTCTTACATCACTGGATCACTAATTCATCGCCACTGTCTGTCTTAAAATGACCCCATGTCTGAATAATAGATTAGCTATATTACAGGCTGCTTTATAAATGCCCTCATTCCCAGTCATCTGCTTATTTGAATTCACTCCGTATGATCCTATTTTCAGACAACAGACTCGTGCTGTCTCCAAACTGTCATGAAGAAGTCGGCCCCTGCACAGCCAAGGGTTCATTCTGTGCAGATTTCAATCCATGTCTCGCTCTCTTAGCAAAGAGATATTTAAAATGTGTCAATAACAAAAACTTTGAAAGATTGTAAGCAGCCTAACACTCTTTACTTCGCACTATAACTTGAACATGTTCATCAGATATCAGTACTGTGAATGTTTTTTTTTAGAATAGAGTTGGTCTCTTATAATACCAAAAGTTGGCTGTGGCTCAGTGGTAGAGTTGGTCATCTCTCAACCAGAGAGTCGGGTGGTTCAATCCTAAAGCTCCTGTGGTCACATCTGCACAAGAGTAATGGGGTTGGAGATTTGAACTGGCACACTGGCACACTTCTATCAGTGTGTGAATGCAGTGTGATTGGGGGGAAAGTAGGCAGTTTCTGACCTCTCTGCATTGATGTTACAGAACTTTTGGGTCAGTTCCTGTTTTTCCAAAAATGTCCTGAATAAATAAATGTGACCTGGTAAAAGAGTTTGCAAATGAGTGGGAATTCAAATCTAGTAAAAAAGCAGATTAACACTGGAGCACGAATCTATTATTTTCACGGTGTGAAATGACATGTTGGGGTACAACTACTTACTTCTCGTCACATTATTTGTTTTAGTGCTTGTTTCTTTTTAAAAATGACAAATATTGAATATAGAATTAGTCATCTCTTTTAAGTCCCTTCTTCTTAAGACACTTTTTCCGGCGAGCCTTTCCTTAATTTTGTTGATTTTAAATTGTTACTATTTTCACTTTTTAGAATTCCTTTAAAATAATTGTATGTATTTTACAGTTTTTTTAAAAGGGATTTTATATCTTAAAGTAATTTTTATTCCTTAATCTTGCCTTGTTTATTATTCTATGACCTGCCTGTTTTTATATTTGCTGTCCTTGTAAAGCACTTTGTAACTTGTTTTTGAAAAGTGCTCTATAAATAAAGATTATTATTATTATAAATAATCTACAAAGTAAAAAGTAACCATGTTATTTTTTTTCCTCTCTCCCTCAGCCCTGATGTTTGAAAGTGTGTCAAAGGCTGTGGGGGTTGTTGCTTTTATAACGCTCTGTTTGGATTGATCCTCGGCAAGGCCATAAAGAAAGTGGCTCCTTCTCTCTCCTCCTTCCAGACCTCACTGCATTAGCGGCTAATAAGCTGCAGTTCATCATCACCAGCTGGCCCACTGGGATTGGGTCGTTTGTAACTGTCAGCACACAGCCACAGTATGTGTAAGTGTATGTGTGAGGTGCGCTTTGTGTAACAGTGTGTGTGTGTGTGTGTGTGTGTGTGTGTGTGTGTGTGTGTGTGTGTGTGTGTGTGTGTGTGTGTGTGTGTGTGTGTGTGTGTGTGTACACGTGGGAATCTTTTAATGAAATTGACCTCATTCGGACCTATAGTATTTTGTTGCAAATGTTTTCCATATTGTGTATTTTTGACATTAAGTTTCATGTTTTTTTTGTTTGCTATCATTTTTTTCCTTTAAACATATTGTAAATGAAAGCCACATCAACAAAAACTGATCATCATAATTTTTTTTTTTCATAGATGAATTCACTAAGAAGCTGATTTTAAAGCGTTTTATAGCCAATAGGATGAACCTCCATACATGTGTTGGACTTTAAAGAGAAAAACTTGAAATTAATAGTTAAAGTTAAAGCTGTAAAAAAAAAGGTATATTTTCTCATATTTGCTTAACATTTTGGGAGCTGAGGACTCCAAACTTGCTAAACATCTTTTTATGTATAAAATCCTAATGTGTGACAAAGCACTAAATTATACATTGGGTCCAATAATATCCTTAGATGATTTATTTCAACCAGAGAATCCTATTTTAACAAGTGAAATGCAACTCAAAAATACGATTGGACAGCATCCTTTAGCAGGAAGTTTAACCCCATCTCAGTGAATTTACCCTCAGCTTAGGGGCCCTTGAATAAGAATCTGTATATCTACAAGTTCGATGTGATATTCGACCTCCCTCTGGAGATCCCTCTAACTTCCCTTCAGAGATCAATGAGGAAGAGTCTATAAATGCAACTGTTCAAAGTTTTCCATTGTGTGCTGTTGTCTTAAATGATTTGGGATTTAGGGATTTTCTTTCTGGGTTGTTCAGTGAGAAGATGGATGGCCTGCCACCATCAGTGAACTCAGCATTCTGGGTTTATTGATCTTTACCTGGACTCCCTCGTGTCTCCGGCTACAGTGTGTCTCCTGCGCTTCAACTCCGCAGAGAATCGTCTCTTTCCTGCTGCCTTCCTCCTCTCCTCCTCTCCATTCACCCCCCACGAAATCCTCCTGTCTTTCTTCTCCTCCTCTAACGACTTGGATCTGGGTTCCAGTGTGTTTAAATTCCCATTGTTCATTGTAAGTGTGTGTGTGTGTGTGTGTGTGTGTGTGTGCGTGTGTTTGTGAGAGAGGATAGAAGAGGCAGAGCATGCAGAAGGACAGAAACATGCAGGAGTTGGCATGCAGAAATAAAAACAGAGACAACTTTAGCATGCATCTATAAACTATGAATCTCTTCCCAAAGAATCCTCAGTATTTTAAATTAAACACATAAAAAAATAGCCAATGAAGACTAACCTGAGTCGTCCTCCCGGTCGTTCTGATTGGATGGACATGTAGCTGGTGCTACTGAGGCGGGAGGCACTGCTGGCACGGGAGAGGGCCGACATATCGCTCGTGTCGCTGCCTGACGATCTGGCCGACATGTTGTCGCTGCTACGCCGCTGCTCTGCGTACATCTACAGACAAAGACACACCGGTGAGGGAGGCAGGGAAGTTTTTAATATTTGACATAATTCCATTCATTAAGAGCAGGAGGAGTAGGAGAAGAGGAATCTGAAGAATGACGGGAGGAACCATAGATGCTGACCTCCCGTTTTGTCTTGAGGTCCGTCTCGGGGTCGTGGGAGGCTGAAGGCCGGTAGGAATGTACTTTCATCGGCAGCTGTCGGGCACGCTCCTCTACTGCGAGAACTGAGAGAGGAGAGACAATACAAGAGTGTGACACAGGAACTGCATAGACGACAGAAGAGAGAGAGGAATGTAAATAAGAGAAAAAATTAATGTGCTTCCAATAAGAGGATGAGGATGCAGGCTCCGACTTCTGACACTAGATGGAGCATGATGTTTACTTATTGTACATTCAGTGCCTTTGTGAGTGATGGTGGTGGGTCAGACAGAATTTTTATAATCAACCTATGGCCAAATATAAGTCTCTTATAAGTGGAGAACACTATAATACCACACAAAAACACAACATATACACTCCTTAATTAGGATCCCTACATTAAACCCATTGCTCAGCATCGGGCCTTTGAGAAGGATCAGGGTGCTGTTTGTTACTGTTGCATGTGATCAACTAATGCAACAGGGTAAATAAAGCTAACGAAAAATGAAATGAATGACTGAAACCTTTATTGCCCCTAGGGGAATTTGCCTTGCACAGAGAGCATAAAAACACAATACAAACAAACATTTACAGGACAGCACATAAGAACACAAAAAAACACACTAAAGCATCACATGATTCAATGAGGGATTTCAGCAAGTTAAATAAAGTGCAGAGTGCCGAGTTCGTCCTGTATAATCAGCTCTTATTAAGCAGCTGAATACTGCGCGGTACAAAGGATGTAATGCCTCTTCTAGTCTTCATCCTGGGCATTCTGTACCTGCGCCCTGAATTCAAGAGTTCATACTCTGACCAAAGGGGGTGCAGAGGGTCAGCTGTGATCTTAATGGCTAAATTCAGTGTGTACCGGTCTGTCAGGAAAGAAATGCTGTACATTTGCTTCCCAGTTATCTTGCTGCCTAGTTTAACAACCTTGTCCAGTTTGTTCTTATTATGCTACATTACCAGCTTTATCATGTACATGTTCTCTAGGCATCCATCCCTATTGTTAGATTTGCATTTTTTGGGGGAAGTTCTTTTGACTCAAAGTGTACAACATGTTCAAAATGTTGATTATTAAGGCTTAATGTTACTGATGACCATGTTAGTATGCTTTACTTACAGTCTAGTTTTATCTTTAAATATGTAACAACCACATTATCAGCGACTTATATGGCATTGGGATATTTACTAATATGCTCCTTCATCTGTGGCTTTATTGGATCCCCGTTAAAGAAAGGACATCTTGAAACAAAGAAATCCTCCAGTTTATCAAGCTTTAATGAATGATGTAATGAAGCATTTGGAGATAGAAATAAATTAATTTACCCTGAGAGCAAAGATAAATGTTTTACCCAATATGGCCCGCCATTTATAGACTACTATAACAACAACAACCCCATGAAAAAATAACAATTTAGTACAATCCAGAGAACTTAACATCCTTCAAGTTGTATTATTATTACGATTTAAATCTCTCTTTTTTAAATCTTATTATTATTTTGGTATTTTAATTGTTTTTACATCTTATGTTTTTATTTATTTGTTATCATTTAGTTTTTTGTGTTGGTTTGAGGTATGGATAAACATGTCTCTTTTTTATCTGTATTTGAAAAATAAAAAAACCCCAATAAAGAGAAGTTTAAAAAAAAAAAAAAGTAAATCCGCTCAAATACAGTTCAAGGGCTAAATAAAGAGTTCTCCCCCTGTGAAAAAAAAAAAAAAAAAAAGGACATCTTGGTTTCAGATTATAATAAAGCAAAAGTGGAACTGTCCTTAACCTACATTTTAATGGCCAGGTGGAAGTTTTCAGTGACCTGCTTTTTCTGAATTAATTTAAACAGAAGTAATTGTATTTTCCTAAAATGTAGTTGATTGTTTTAGTTTTCTTACGTTTAAATTGATTTCCACCATTTAGAGTAAAACCAATGATAAAGCAAGGTGTGCTGTAGCGTCTGGCTGACTTGTTTAAATATGGTCACTTATGTCTCCAAAAAATAACTGTGGAAATACGATGATGAATTATAAAATACCAATCTTCAGAACAGTAATCCAACTGAGGGGAAAATCCATGTTAGGCTATGAGAATTTACAGTCTATGGTCCCCCCCAACATATTCAGAATCCGATTCTTAAAATCCACTTACCTTGCTCTATGCTGCTGCTTTTTGCAGGGAGCTGAGGCAGTTGCCGGCCCCTGCGACCTGATGAGTGAGTCCCCGTAGGAGAGGGGCTGCCATGAGTGTGTGCTCTGACAGATAGGAACATAAAAACACAAGGATGAATTGAAGGAAAACACATTATTATAGCTGTATTTTAAGCATTAAGTCAAGTGAAGCGCAAAACTGAAGCACAGAGACGGTTCACTGATAGCTGGTATTAGAGGTCAATGTCACGTTTGGAGAAAATCTTTAGGAAAGGAGCGAGGAGTAAAGGAGGGGGGCACCAGAGACAGTATGCACAGTGCTGTCATAGTTAGTGATGTTAATGATAATACATGTATGCAAGAAAATATATTTCTTAGTGATACTTGTGCATGGATGACTTCACCACACACTTTAAGACACAGAGGAAATCAGCACAAAAAGGGAGAAGAATTGATTCTGGCTGTAGCATGCACCTGTCTAGATGAGGTGAGTTTGGGCAAGACCCAGACAGGGCCGTCTGCCCAAAGGGCCTCAGAGGGCCCCCTCTCCCCCTACTGCCCCTCAGGATAGAGGTGGGCTGGATACGACTGCGGTCAGCAAAACAAAAAAAAAGGAAATAAAATAAAAATAACAATAATAATAAAACACATACAGAAGTCATTTTGGAGATCTGTGTATGATATCTATCTGATGTTGTCTTTGCCTAAAGTTCATTCAAACTTTACCAAAATATGCACAAAATATAGGAAGATGCATGGTATACTATTAGGACCAATGAGATCTGCTTGCGGAGGGGGTTGTTTGTTGAGAACAACCCCCTCCTTGAAATAAACATGACAGGCAGCTACAGTGAGGACCAGGTATCTCCTCATTTCAGGAATGCAACCAAAAGGTTTCTTTTTTTGTATCAAACACTATTTTGTTGATTTGAAAAAGAAAAAAAAATTGCTTTTGGTTCATCCATTATATTAGGATGCATTGTTGAGAACGAAACAACCAAGAATGTCTGAATGCTGTGTAAAGAGTGTTTGACTTGACGTTTAGAGTTGTGACACATTCCTAGGATTACACATGAACACTTAACCTTTCATGACTTATCTTATGAGCTGTGAAATGAGGTTAAAAAACAAGTTACACTAACACTGACATCTTGTTAAATCTGTCCTATTGAATCTGTTCTTATAAGTAATTTGATTTGACTGGACGTTAAAGGCTTTCTATGTGATTTTTCACACTTAAATATAATATAAATCAAGTACCGTATTTTCCGAACTATAAGGCGCACTTAAAAGCCTTTAATTTTCTCAAAAAACGACAGTGCGCCTTATAATCCGGAGCGCCTTATATATGGATCAATTGGTTAATTGGTTGATCCATACTGGTTGTACACGGCGCTCAGCGACACTGACTCGGATAATGACGAGAGGGAGCCGGGCATGTTGGATGCCGTACTCGCCCAACTGTTCAATTCGGACACTGAAGAAGAATTCGAGGGATTCGTGGACGGGGAATGAACTGAAAAAGTGAGCTTTACGTGTTATACGTAACTGAACAATGTTGAGTTATGCACTAACGCAGGGGTGCCCAACCTTTTTTGAACCAAGATCTACTTTTAAAGTTACCAGTCTGCCGAGATCTACCAGTCCACATAGTGAGCCATAGCCTTTACCAACAGCCTACAAACGCATTTAATACTCACACAACAAACAGAAAATAATAAATGAGAGTTCTGTAAAAAATAATGCAGACTACAGACTACAGCAGGCTGCTGTGAGATGATTTTGCTTTTGTTAAATTAGCTGCAGACACGGTGAGAGTGAACGGAGTAAAGTCCAACCGACTGTTTGACCGGGTCACGTGTGTTCCCACCTCGGTCCGTACGGATCACGGATCAACTGTGTGCTGTAGCACGAAAATGGTGGCTGGCGCTCCAGTGCAAGTGTGTGTGTGTGTGTGTGTGTGTGTGTGTGTGTGTGTGTGTGTGTGTGTGTGTGTGTGCGTGTGCGTGTGCATGTGCGTGTGCGTTTGCGCTGTTTGTTGGTGTGTCTCGTCCCCCGCGATGCTCACAGTCATGACAGCAGAGAGGAGCAGAGAAAAGTAGCTGCAGCTTCATCAAATGCGCTTAATACTCGTAGCATAGTTTCTATATATGACTTTTTGGTAAAACATTTACCCCCCCGGTTTTACCTGCACGTCATTGCGCATGCCTGCACTCTCTCTTGCGCGCGCTCTCTCTCTCTCTCTCTATCTCCGCCGCTCGCTCTCTCGTGCACGCAGCAATTTCATGAATAAATGAAAAATTAAATACACACAGGTCGGAAGTATACTTGGGCTCCCAACACAGGTATCGTGTGTGGGAAACAGTGCAATGAGATGAAATTGAAATCACTTTTCTATTTTACAATTGTATTTTATATTGACAAAACATCTCGCGATCGACTGAGAATCAGTCAGCGATCTACCTGTCGATCGCGATCGACTGTTTGGGCACCCCTGCACTAACGTTTGAATTAGCGGTATCAGACTGTGTTTCTTTTACGTGTTTACAACTGAACAAGGCTGGGAGATATTGTGAATATGCACATTAACGTTTGAACAACGTTGAGTTATTGTGAATGCACTACGTATAAAACTACGTTTTGAGAGTTAAGAGAAACGTCAAAGAAATAATTTATTATTTGGGGAAATCGTCTTATGTACTTTTGTTTTTGTAGTTTTATACGTTACGTTTTATACGTATTTATATTTATATATTCACAATATCTCCCAGCCAACACGTTCTATTCTATGCGCCTTATAATCCGGTGCGCCCTATATATGAAAACAGTTCTAAAATAGGCCATGCATTGAAGGTGCGCCTTATAATCCGGTGCGCCTTATAGTGCGGAAAATACGGTATATCGTCTGAAAATAACTCTGTGAGTCATGACTGTCTACAATGGGTGTAACACCCGAGTCCCACTGTCTGTTCTCATTATTCTTCACCCTTTATTTAATTTGAACATTTATTATGACCAAGCTATGAATCAATTCACTTTGTGGAGGGTCTCCTTCCCAGGCTCTTAATGTTGATTCATTAATCACAACTTTTGAAACAATATTAAGAAAGAAAGGCTTTCTATGTGATTTTTCACACTTCAATGTAATAGAAATCAAGTGTATCCTCTGAAAATAACTCTGTGAGTCATGACTGTCTACAATGGGTGTAACACCCGAGTCCCACTGTCTGTGATGCTTTCAGAGTTTTCAGAGTCCTATCTTCAGTTTGTTTACATCGCCCGGACGGCCGGCTGACTCCTCCCCTCGTGTATAAAAGTTGTTTAATTGAGGGACTAGAGAAAAGAAGAATAACATACTGTACTCACTGATAAACTGTGTTTCTAGATCACGCTCATTTCAGGTCAATTTACATGCAGTGTGAAGATACCAGCATAATAAAGATCGCTAGCATTAGCATGCTAACACAACAATGCAGCGCGAGTTGTTTTGGTTTCATGCTGGTGCTCAAGGGCGACATCTGCTGGATCAAAAAATCGCATATGCCTTTAACAAACCTAGGCAGAAACTAGACAGAGCCAAGCTAGCTGTTTCTAGTCATTGAGATAAGCAAAGCTAGTGCTGGCTGTCATGTTAAGAGTGGATGTAGCTTAATTAGCTGCCTGTAAATAACACAAGAAACATTCAAGTGGCTCGAACCCCTCACATCAGCAAACTGCTTCTTACACTTTAAAAAAAAACGACATAAAGGTAAGTGCAAAAAGCGATTTGCAAAACCCTTGATTGTAAGTTATTTGGATTATGTAATGTGTTAGTTATGTTTAGTGTTATAGGGAGGCTTTTCTTATTTTGAGCTTGCTTTCAGGTTCTACACAAGCTGCTGTACTTCCAAAGAGAAAACAAAAATATTAATAATCCAGCTTTGACCGTCAGTCACTGATGGTCAGGCACCGTCCCTCCAGACAGAAAAAGGAGCAGGGACATTCAAAGAAGAGAAAAAAACTGAATGAGTAGATGAATGAAGAAATGAATGAATGAGCTTACCCGTGCCCCTCCAGACTTTTTCTGCTGCCCCTGTGACAGTTGGGAGTTGATGAATTGCTACACGGCCTGTTTTCGATTAAACAGTAACCACAAAGAGAGGGGAAAAAAACAAACGACACGACATGAAGGATGACAACCCACAGGATGTATAACTGAAGACTGACTGATGTGATATAATGTAAAAAGACTCAAACCAAGACTTCGGTTTAGTTATTGTCGTTTTTAAAAAGCACTATAACTGAGAATTGCACATTCTTTTCAATCAATGTTAGCGAAAGCACTTGAAAGGCAGATGAGTCAGGAAATTCAGAGCAGGCACACAGCAGAAAGAGCAGGTGCAGGAGAATAAAGGAGGGATTACACAGCATTAGACAACAAATATTTACAGGAAAAAGGGAAAGAGACATTGCTGATCATAAAGATCTGTGCAACACCATCGTCTACACTACAAGAGCTCTGGGCTACAGGAGGGGTTCACAGTGAAAGCAGGAGAGGGGCAGCAGGAGAGGCAGGCCTGGTGTACCTGTCTTCCTCAGGGGTCACATGTTCTACAAAGATCCTGGGGCTTGGGGGAGTCTTGTGGGGCAAAGAGTTGGAGCACCTAGAGGGGGTGGAAGGGTGGGAGGAGGAGGAGCATCCCGATGTAGGAACACCAGGAGGAGATGTAAGTGAACACAGGGACTGAGGAGGGTTGACACTGTTCAAATTTATGTCACAATATCAGTTAAAAAAACATGTCTCCCAATAGTGAAATGCATTATCATGCCATTCTTTACTTTGATTAGAAAGCAACACATATTGCTGTGCTTTGATTGGACTTTAAAGGCTTTATATGCAATTTTTTGATCCAGCAGATGTCGCCCTTGAGCACCAGCATGAAACCAAAACAACTCGCAGTGCATTGTTGTGTTAGCATGCTAATGCTAGCGATCTTTATTATGCTGGTATCTTCACACTGCATGTAAATTTACCTGAAATGAGCGTGATCTAGAAACACAGTTAAGCAGTGAGTACAGTATGTTATTCTTCTTTTCTCTAGTCCCTCAATTAAACAACTTTTATACACAAGGGGAGAAGTTAGTTGCTGTCCCGACAATGTAAACAAACTGAAGATAGGACTCTGAAAACTCTGAAAACATCACAGACAGTGGGACTCGGGTGTTACACCCATTGTAGACAGTCATGACTCACAGAGTTATTTTCAGAGGATACACTTGATTTCTATTACATTTAAGTGTGAAAAATCACATATAAAGCCTTTAAAGCCTTTAGATTAAAGTAAACAGGGCCGTCACTCAGAAGAGGCCATGTGAAACTGACTGCTATCACCCTTCCTAACATTTTGACTTTCACCATGATCTTAAACGTAAACAACAGGCTGTTGGCCGTGGTTTATTATATACCATACAGCAGTGGTTCACAAAGTTGGAGTTGGGACCTTCGGGGGTCTGCAAGACCCCAAGAGGAGGGTCTTTTAAAAAAAAAAACAATTATGCTAATTTTTAAAATTTTTAATTGTAGAATTTACCCATTATTGTAAAAACAGCACAAAAAGTAGTCCAATTTAGATTCAACTAGTAAGTGATAAGAAAATGAAGTTCATGTGTAAAAGGAAGTGTGGACAACAGGAACGCAAGGAATACAAAGGAGAAATCCTTCCTGCCGCTCTCCCCTTATCCCATTTCTCTTAACAATGAGTATGGTATTCTACCTGTTCCTTTGTAAAGCGTCCCCGAGATAACACTTGTTATGAATGCCTTTTCACACATAACTCTCAGGGAGAAACATTTCTAGGTTGAGGCTGCACTTAAGAGACACTTCAGGGACTCAAATGAGTTTGCTCTTTAATCTCATCTGCCATTAGTTGGAACAAACTCTTAAGGCCTATTTCTGTTTTAGAGATTAAATATATGTAAAAGATTCCACATTCAAACAACATTTATCTATGGAGGTGTACCATTGCAAATTCATTCATGTATGAAAGTGATACATGACATGAGCCGGTGCAAAGACATGGAGAAAATGTTGTATGATAAAATCATGCAGGAGAAAAAGCTGCTTCTAAAGGTTTTCAGGAGAGTCTGTGATCCTCATCTCTGCATTATCCTTCAAAATGTAATATTAGAATCTTGTGAATTGCATTTAAAATGTTTTTTATACCTGTCTCTGTCAGAGGAGTGAAAGTTGGTGTCTGGTCTGAGACAGGTGGTGCTGGCACTCCTTACTCTGTCCAACGACGGCTGCAGGTCGCTGCATCACCACAACATGGCAGCAGAGAGAGAGAGAGACAGAGGAGAGAGAGAGAGAGAGAGAGAGAAACAGAGATGGAGACAAGATGTACAAGGACAGAGAATCCAGGCATGAGAGGAGGAGATTGAGAGTAAAGTGTGATGAGTAGGCGGTAGACAATACAAAAAGAGAGGAGAATAATGTGAGATTAAGAGAAAGGAGACAGATGGAAGGAGGGGAAAGAGAAGACAGAAAAAGGCATCAGACAGTGCAGTGACATGTAATGGTTCTGATTCTAGATCTCCATTTATCATAGGCAGTCATTCCTTGCAACTATACACTGGCAAGACCGCTCAGATGAGAGGTTGGTGGGTTGCCATGGGAACCAGGTCTGAGTGGGAGCGGGGAACTGCTTCTGAGTGTGTGAGAAGGTGAGGAGAGGGTTGAACGGGTGAGGGGGGAGCAGAGGAGCAGCTAGTGTTGGCTCACAGCTGCATGTTTGTCATGTCACTTTCAACAGATGGTTGGCTCTCTGCACCATCGCATGACACTGCACTTCATGCTTTCAGAACAAAAGCCTCACACGGACGACAACAAGGGCTTAAAGTTCAGTGTCAGTGTAATGCTCTGCCAGCATGGAGTCATAAGGTAAAAAAAAAGAAAACAACCGATATGTAAAGACAAACACATTTTTGGAGGATTTGGAAAAATATGGAACTATAATTTTTAGTAATTTTAAGAATAGGAGAAAAAAAGGAAAAATGTAAAGGGAAATAAAAGTGCTATCCAAACAAAGTAATAAAAAAATGACAGAAACAAGTATTCTTACAGATTTTCTGTTTTTTTCTATATATTCATTTACATTTAGAAAATTGTTTAAATTGTTTAAAGTCTTTATATGTGATTTTTTGATCCAGCAGATGTCGCCCTTGAGCACCAGCATGAAACCAAAACAACTCGCGCTGCATTGTTGTGTTAGCATGCTAATGCTAGCGATCTTTATTATGCTCGTATCTTCACACTGCATGTAAATTTACCTGAAATGAGCGTGATCTAGAAACACAGTTAAGCAGTGAGTACAGTATGTTATTCTTCTTTTCTCTAGTCCCTCAATTAAACAACTTTTATACACGAGGGGAGGAGTCAGCCGGCCGTCCGGGCGATGTAAACAAACTGAAGATAGGACTCTGAAAACATCACATACAGTGGGACTCGGGTGTTACACCCATTGTAGACAGTCATGACTCACAGAGTTATTTTCAGAGGATACACTTGATTTCTATTACATTGAAGTGTGAAAAATCACATAGAAAGCCTTTCTTTCTTAATATTGTTTCAAAAGTTGTGATTAATGAATCAACATTAAGAGCCTGGGAAGGAGACCCTCCACAAAGTGAATTGATTCATAGCTTGGTCATAATAAATGTTCAAATTAAATAAAGGGTGAAGAATAATGAGAAATAAAATAATCATTATCAGTTAATGAATCATGTAAAATGATTTGAAAAAGGAAGGGGAAAAGGACGCTACTATACAAACAAAAATGTTTTATCTGCACAACTCATGAGCATGGGTGACTGAATTTATGAAGGTGTTCAATGATAAATAGAGAACTCTAGAAAGTGTTTAATATATTCTAAAACCTATATACACATGTACACATACACACAGCATATGCACACACTCACACACAAACACATATTTTGTGTATTCATGTATCCATCCATCCATTATCTATACTGCTTCTCTCATTCAGCTGGAGCTGATCCCAGCTGTGATTGGGCGAGAGGCAGGGTACACCTTGGACTGATCGCAAGATCACAGGGCTGACATATAGAGACAGACAACCAGACACACTCAACACTCACACCTACGGACAATTTAGAGTCAGCAATAAACCTAACCAGCATGTCTTTGGACTGTGGGAGGAAGCCGGTGTACCCCTAGAGAACCGACACATGCACGGGGAGAACATGCAATCTCCACACAGAGAGGCTCCTGATTCAAACCAGGATCCTTTCTGTGAGTCAACAGTACTAACCACTGCACCACCAGAGCCCTATGCAGGTATCCTTTATGTATTAGTTTATTTGTTTTTATAGTCCTATGTATATTTCAATATTAACTGTCTTCTTTCTTGTCTTGGCACTCTATGACTCCATATGGAAATCTCCTCTTCAGCTTGGGTTAGGCTGGTCACCCACTATGAGGGAGAAAGAAGCAGTTCTGGGTGAAGGAAGGACGGGGGGAGGTTTGTGCATGTTTTGTTCTTACCTAACCGTGACCTCATCAGTGAACCTTAGCACACGGTGTGTAAGGATGCTACGAGGCATGGTGCCGCCCCCTTCCTGCCTGGAGGGCGGCTTGCTCTTTAGGCATGCAGGGAGGGTCGAGCTGAGTGCCAGAACCCCCAACCAACAGGCAGAGGAAAGCCCCGTGTGCAAAAACAAAACAAAAAAGGCAAAGGAAAACAAAATGACACATGCAACTGGCAGAAATATCTAGAAAGAAAATAAATGAAGGGGGGGGGGCAAACAAGCATGAAAACAAAGCTTTGCAGAGAAGCAGGAGACACAAAAAAAGGCAAACATCCACATCATCACATTGAAGATGATGAAGTTGATGAACTGCACCTCAGAGTCAAATTCATTATGTAAGAGTAGGGATATCTCCTCCTGCCCTCCCTGTGGACTGACCCCACACACACATATATATATGGGGGGGAGATTACATGTAATGCTGATTATATAACACCATGTACGGATGTTAAGCATGGAAAGTCGAGCAAACCAAACTACTATACATCTGTCAAATGTATAGGAGAGCCACGCAGAGGATTAAAGCAGAAGACAGACGAATGGAGGGAATGTTTGTGCAGGAATGATGCGTTAGGCTACAGTACAGTGACTGATGATTATGTGTTTTTATCAGTGGTCAGAGGAAAGGTAAGATCATGTTTTAAAAACAATAGGCACTGATGTGCTTCGGCAAAAATTGAGAGACTCGAATAAACATCTGATAAATATTTGAGAGGGCAGTACTGGTGTGTGTGTGTGGATGGTTTGTGTCGGCTTTATAGACAATTAACATCAATGCGCATATCTTTTATCTTATTCTGATCATTCCCAATCACTTCATTTTCATACATTTTAAACAGAATAATAAGCATTTCTATATTTCATTCTTTTAATTTTTTTATAAAGTTGGGGAAACTTGCAAGAGACACATTGATTCAAATATTTGCAGAAGAAGCCAAGACAAGCTTAACTGTTCTTATGCGTTACATTAACGCCCACTGGACTTTAAAAATCTATCTTCCTTATATCCACTCTGCACAGCTCCTACATTAAACTTTTTGTACATTTTCGTTTTTTTATCTTTATTTTTTCTATTTTATATATTGTAATATCTTCTTATACTGTATTATTTAAGTTGTTGTTAGTTCTGCTTTATTTCCTTGTTAATTGTTTAGCACCAATACACCAAGTCAAATTCCTTGTATGTGTAAATGTACTTGGCAATAAACCCTGATTCTGATTCTGATTCTGATTCTGAATCTGAACTTGACGGCCTAATTTTGGACAAATTAAAAAAACGCCCAAACTACAAATACCATCAACATGCTCTTTATCTAGTGTATATCTTTTACCATCATATGTATGAAGTACTATGTACTATTAATGCTGATGGGATTGGCCTTTTTATGCAGGGATTTATCAAACCAAAAAAAAAGTTCAGGTAAACATTGTAAAGCAATCCAGTTCTGCTTTGTTAAAATCATATGAAACCAAATTCGTGCTGGAGCAGAAAGTCAGGAGGATTAAGTCATGCCACTAGCCTGACTAGTTACGAGCTGCAGATGAAAATAAGTGGTGTGTTTCAATAATGATTGTTTTTTGTTATTTCCTAAGTGACGAAACATCATAGATTTGAGATTTGAGATGAAAAATGAAAAAGCCAGGACCGAGGTTTAATATCATCTTGACCAGGACCATTTTTTTTTTGATTGATTATCTTACAACATGGCTTACAAACACAACACTTAATTGGCACATCTCATATGTTTTGAGGAAGATGGTCAGAAGTGATGGACAATTAAATGTATGGTTTACACTTTAAAATGATTGTATAACACAGAGGGAAGAAAACACAAACGATGAAGTTAGCCTAAGCAGCAACATGACAAAGCAGCTCTGCACACACTCCCATTAAAGCAAGCACAATCAGCACAGTGTTCTAGGAGAAATCAGGGCATTGAATGCTCTGAGAGGACACTGTCGCAACCAAATGACCATCCAACTCCACAAATGAGTCTGGGAAAACTGCACAGGCACAGAGCAGGGATAGGACAACACGGTCTTTTAAGCTAGCTGCTTACCTGTAAATGTCTTTATGGATACCGTTTACTAACAGGGGCATTTTTGGGGGGAGTGTGTTGCTGTATCTACCTACGCCCCTGATGTAAGTGTTGAGATTGTACACATAAAGCAAGACAAGAAACAAAAGGTGGAAGAAAAAAAAACAAGTGCTGTGAGTAAGCAATCAAATGCAAAAAAAAAAAAGAAGAAGAAATTAATCAAAAGAGCTTTGCCTTGTTTGAGATCAGCCACAGAGCAGGTCACTAATCCCCTCACACAGCCACCAGTGTGCTGCGTGTGTTTTTTGCTTGATAGTTGTGATGATAGAGGCGATATTCAGACATTCATTTATGAGTTTGCAACAGCTACTAAGCCCCAACATGTCACTCGGAAATATGCACTTTTTTGCAAATGCAAAGAAGCCGACACACACTCTACACTCTACAGTGTCCATTCAAGATAAACTCAGTGTTTTGCATGAAGTATGACCATTAAGTGTGTTAAGATGAACTTGTTAAAGTATAGTGGGGATGTCGATGATGATAAAATGGCATATTTTATTAAATAATAAAGCTGAATGGTGATCAGTTGTCTGTTCTTTTTTTTTTTTCTTTTTTTTTTTTACCTGTTTGTATGCAGGCACTCGGCACTCCCACCTCGGATAGACCTGTGCATCTCCAGGACCTCACTGTCATTGCCATGACGATGGGTTAAAGAATGACAAACACCCCGAGAAAAACACAACAGAAAAGGATGGCAACTCAGACAGGCAAAGTGAATTTATGAATGAGAGAAACCAGGAAATCATAAGTCTAAGATTTCAGTTCAAGTCTGCATCCAGCAGTACAGAATGATTTAACAAACGTAGAGTGTTCTTTCAAACTGTTAGTAGTATTAGTAGGAATTAGTTGAAAAAAAGTATATTAAACACATTTGAAAACCAAGTTATTTACCATGATTCAACCCTTATAAAATACAGCCCTTGCTGAATTGTTTTTTTTTTTCCATATAGAGTATTGCATGATCCCCCTTACTGTGCTATGGTTGGCTTGCATATGATTGGCCTTTGGTGTTTTACACAGCTCTTTACCAAGACATAAAACAGATCACTCTTTCTGTCACGTCTCATATAGAAGGTCATGCAGATTTTTCTTCTCATTCTCTAAACCAAGACGTTTTGGTGACCTATCCCAACTGAGATGTTGTTAACCACTTTTTTGTTGGGATTGGACACCAACACTACTTGGTTAAGAATTCCTGGTAATTTGACACTTTCTTACAGGACTAGTCAATCATAGAGCAGTAGGTTGAGACTAGACTGAGCTCCATTGGGGGAAAATCCTACTTGTAAATGGGAAACTAAGAATGTTGCTTGGATAGGGCAACACAACATGGGTGTAGCCAGTAAGCTACATGTAGGGTTTAGCACTCGCTCTTCCTCTACCATGTCCTTGTCTGCAAGGAATGGAGTTACACCATGATATAATTCCCATTAATAAAAATGTACAGTAGTAGCTATGGATTACGCCCTTTTACCCTGAGTCCCTTCCCTGGCAATGCTCATACATGAATTTTGGGGAGCTGAGGCCTTCAAAGAACAACTGGAGAAAGAGTGTGTTTGGCTGCTGAGTTCAAGCATCAGCAATCTCTCCTAAGAATCACGAACCCCACCTTTAAAGCTCAATCATTACATTTTGAAACATATATACAGTATATGCATGTTGAAGTTTAGAGCTGCTTTCAAATCATCCCGAAGTGGCCCATTAGGAATTCAATGTATGTGCAATTTCATTCTTTATGGTTTTATTATTAGATCTATATTGTGTTATTATTGGTAAATATAATTGTAAAGAGTCTTCTAAAACATACTTCATGACCCCATCCCAAAAAAACAGATTCAGGAAACAGGTTACCTGTCTTCAGAGTACTCGTAGTCTGAGTCCCCGGAGCGCTGGTGCTCCAGGTGAGAGTCGTGGTAGCGGGAGGGGGAAGGCGAGTGGGACTGATGGCGGTTCTGGTGGATCTCATCCAGACTCCTAACAAAAAAAAAGTAAATATCAAATGAGTTTATGCTTATTCTTAAGACAAATCCTGACCCATGTTTGAGGCATCTGATGATCCAATATGTTCCTTTCTTTTCTTCAGGTCATATAAAACCCACCTCTGGTTGTTATGACGTAATATATGATGCCAGGTGTGGCCGTGTGAAGAAACATGGAAAAAGTCTACTTCAGTTTAGATATAAAATGATATAATTGCATTATATTTCATTTTATGGAATATGACATATCTGTTATTATTATTATTTATGACGTTGTTACTCTACCAGCAATAAGCAACGATGTGTTCTACCCAGTGATAAGAAATACTGTGGCATTACTGTGATGCTACTACTATTTGTGGTAACTAGTAACAAATTAGTTAAGCCTCTAAATTATGGAACCAATTGCCAGTGGAGATTAGAAATTGCACCTCCCACCATACATTCACTCACCGTCTTAAGGACTGGCTTTTAGGCAATCAAAAATTGTGAACACCTTTGATAGTATTTAATCTGAGTGCATGTTTGTCTGTTGTTATGTATTGTTGTAGCTGTGCTGTCTAATCCATGGTGCTTTGTATGAATGGTTGTATGGTTATATGTTTTAATGGAGTCAGTATATTGGCATCATGTTATACTGTTGTTATCTGTTTTCCTTGACATGTTTTTATTTTTTAGCCTCCCTGTGCCTAGCTTAACATCTTGCCAAAGGACTACAGTTGAAAATTAGCCTGCTGGCTAACACTGGCACATTTACAGAAATGTTGATTAATGTGCACTGTCCTTTAAATAATGAAATTAAATTAAATTAAATTAGTTTCAAGTTAAATAACAAAATGAACATGGTGAGTTGAAGTCTACATGCAGGAAGGAAACCTTCTCTCACACAGCGCTAAACAACATCACGCTTCTTCTAAACTAGCTGTCAGAGAGCGCCGTGCTGCAGACAGCAGAGAAGCAGGTGCAGCTCATGTTAGCTCAGCAGACCAAGGAGGAGACACTCCATACAAACATCCAGCTTGATTTAAAAAACCGCCTGCTCCAGGACGTGTAAACTGGATTATAGACTGATAGACAGGTATGATGTCAGAGACCTGCTTCACATCAACTGTTGAGTCTGTTGCCTTTAGAGATCGAAACGGTAAAATACCTACACCTTGTGGCAGAACTATTCTGCCACAGCAACACTAAATAATGTGATCAGTAATATGAGGATTGAAGAAAAAAAGTGACGCTGAAGTTAATTTCCCAAGTAACTAGTTACTTTTTCAAATCAGTTACTCAGTTTCTTTTTGACTGTATAGTTACTACTGTCAATAACTAACTAGTTACTTATTTTCAATAACGTGGCTAACACTGGTACTACCTGATAACGATTTAATAAATGGTGGGATGAAATGAAATATGGAATGTAAAATAGGAAATATAAGCTGCATTCATTTTCTGACATAAAAAAAAAGTGAAATTAGATAGGCAGAGCTGACTGAGGCTGTTGCAGAATATACAGTATATACAACTTGATTAAAAAGCAAAACTTTCAGATGTTTGGAATGGGCATGTAGATATTTTCTGCACCCATTACCCACACTCCTCTATATGTTAACCAGGCAGCTCTGAAAGGTTTGATGCTGACCTTTGCATGGGGACGTGTGCAGGCCGTGAGCGAGCCCTGCAGGAGTCCTCTCGGTGAGGAGACACAGAGCGGGAGCGGTGCTGGACTTGCCGCTGCTGCTCAGGTACAGCCAGCGTACTGCCTCGTTCTCTCTCCCTGGAGTTACGCTCTGCATCTACACACACACACACACACACACACACACACACACACACAGCAACAACAAAAACATCCATACAAATCCACATTCATACAAATATGTTTATCCACAACACACAATGACACAAAGATAGAAAACAGACAGACACGCACAGATAAAGGCATTATTTTTGTGTCATTTGAGGAAATAAATGCACCAGTTGTGTGTACCGTTGTTGTACTACCATCTACAATTACAGATGCCATTCTTTTAGAAGATTGTAGAACATCACATCAGGATGTTTTACAGGAAAATGACCAGCTAGCAAACAGGTTAGCTGGTCATGTAGCCTGAGTGTGGCTGTGAGGCTGAGGCTGACTGTTTCTGCAATGTCTTTATCAGACTTGATATCAGTAGTATGCAATAATTATGCAGATAGCAAAACACCCATTTAAAAAAAAAAAGCAAGGAGCCTGTGTAAAACGTAAATAAAATCTATGCTTACAAAAAACATTCCCAACCAATGAGCTTTACACAATACATTTATGTGAAAAAGATTTTGAAGAAGATTTTGCCAATGATTTTGCCAATGTTTTTAATTACATTCGACACAGTGTCCAACATTTTTAGAATCAGGTTCTGCAAGAAACTGCACAAGATTAAGAGAACCTTTATATGTACTCAAGGTATAAAACAGAGCTGGAATTTGATCCGATAATTGAGTTTTTGGTAATAATTTCTTATTAAGCTTGTGGCAAACCAAACCCATTTAGCTTATTCAAACACCAAAATGAGCCTAAAAGTTCTAAGTTTTAGATACATGTAACGTTCCTCTGACAGGAGATTAAGCCACAGCAGAAACAGACCAACAATAAAGCAGTTGTGTGATTCTATTTGCTTCTAATGTGCATGTTCAGTGTCCCTTTTTTGAAGTAGGCAACTTCTGGGCAGGACTCATGCAGGTAGAATGGCAGTGAACAACTGTAGCTCTACAGTCTAACATGCACTCAGTGCGTTAGTGTTTCTACAGTCCAGCAGAGGAGGAGAAACTGTTAATTGCAGCCTCTTGTAAAGTAAGAATACTGCTAAACTGCATCACTATAAAGGCTGGACATTTCCAATAGTTGTGCAGTCCAGGAGCATACTGATGAATTGCCAACTGTCTTTGTTGTTTTAGCTTTTTGCTGACACGGCAAAAAGATTGTTTATTTTAATTTGAATGCAATTACTTCTTAAATGGCGCCATAAGCAGGCTTAGAGTGTTTGTATGGAGGATGCAAAGAAAAGGCTCTCTCACCCAGTGCTGGACGCCTTCAGGCTAATACAAAGTAGTGCTCAGTAACCATGCCCCCCACCCACCTTTATTCATAACCATCAAACCATCATCAAACTCTGTGTCAATGATGCGATGCGACCCTGCACACACACACACACATACACAACACACACACATACAGGACAGGGTTGAGAGGTTCTATTGTCAGACACCAAAGAGAAAGCTGGGTAAAGGAAAGGTTAGAAACCGCACGGTCATACACACTATAGCTCAACAGAACAGGGAGTAAATGATACATACACACACATACATATATATGTATAAGCACATAGCCTATTTATATAGCATTTAATGTAACCACACATACTTTGTAGTTTCTTGCTTGGGCTGTCTCCATGGACGTGTCTGCGTGGGAGGTACGGGGAGGGCTGAGGCAGAGGTATAGAGGACACGTCATGTGTCTGGAGTTTATACCAATGAGGAATATCGTCCAGCAAGGCCGTCTCCAACTCAATCAGGATCTGAGAGAGATGAGAGGGAAAGAGCAGAAGAGTCATACGGTTGAGTAAATAGAAGCAGTCAAGAAGATCCACACAGGATCCACTTATTCAGAAGGTAAAAGAGACCATTGTAAGTATAGAATATGGATCATGTTTTCTCTCACCTCTCCAAGGAATTCACTCTCCTCCTCCTGGACCCTGGGCTGGTCCCACACTGTGATCTCTAACATTCGTTCTCTAAAGTCCCGCCGATGAACGTGGGAATATAAGAATGTCTGGTTCCACTTGGGATCAGCGCTTTTCTTCACTGTTTTAGTCCGCCGTTTACTTTTATCACTAGAACAAAGGCATGAACACAATAAGCTTCAGAGTGTAAGGAGAACGGGTGTTTCTATAAAAAAAAAACAATGAATGTTCTTTTAAAAACAAGTTCTGATGACGGCAATTTTTAAACTATTTTGGTATTGCACTGTAAATTCTGCGATAAATCCACACAATGAAGTTGTCTACACAGGAAATTATCTGCCAACCCAAGTCTTGAGATTTCTTTGAATTTCTCTGTACAGTGGCCAGCACCTTGGTCAAGAGCCTGCCAGTAGAAGCTTGTTGACAAGGGAAACAAGATTGCCCAGAGGAAACATATACATGTAGGCAACATGAAGATTCCAATCAGAAACGGCCTCCCTCAACCTTCTTGGAGGCCCCCATGATTGGAATTGTATTTTGGTTTGTGCCCAGGACCTTTTGGGTACCACAGTCTGGAATAATACCCAGTACTTTCCTATTGTGTCCGAAGCTGAGATTTGAACCTGAGACCTTCTTGTTATGCTAAAGCTAGGGTTAAAACCAAGGATATTCTTGGGATATCCCAACTGGTATTTGAGCTAAGGACCTTTGGTGTGCCTTGGTTGGGATTTAAACTCAAAGTTGGATTTTAAACCTATGAACATCTTGGTGTGCCGTGTCACAAATAGGATAAGATCAATGGATCATCTTTGTTTAAAGCCAGGGCACTTTATACTTAGCTGCTCTGATATCTAAAGATATCCTGATGTCCTTCAGTTATATTCCTACTGCTTGAAGTACAACAGATGTGCTTGTGAAATGGACCCATCACATGAAATTAATCAAATGTCATTACCTCCTATCTGGCAGGAAGTACATTTTGACATAGGGGTTCCGAGGTCGTCCGTCTGTACGGGTTGGCAGATCTATGGCTTGAAGGACGTTGACGATCAACTGATGACCCACTTTGTCGTACCACAACTTCACCTGTAAAAGCATAAAGACGGTTCAATGAATCCATATTGATATTCATTAAATGCACAACATAGCTCCATCCTCTGTCTTTCTCTTCATCAGATACTCACAGAGAGCTGTCCAGGCAGTACCATTGGGAGGTCACGGAGGGTCCCAGGGCTGGTAGGGGACATCACTGAAATAGAAGGACGGTCCATCTTTTGTGACTCGAAGGAACTCGAGCCAGCTGTTGAACAGAACAATTGTTAAATAAAATAACCATCCAATTCGTCTATTCTTTCATCCATTTACTTGGTCTCAGCCAATGAATTGTTGCAGGGCAGTCGGTAGAGAAGGTAAGAACAGATGCTCCTCTACCCCACAGTGTTATCCAGCTGTCACTAGGGGGGGTTCCTTGGCATTCCAAGGTAAGATACAATCCCCTAGGGTCTCCCCTCAGTTGGTCGAGCCCAGGAAACCTCAAAAGGAAGGCGTCCAGGGGGCATCCTGATCAGATGCCCTAACCCCTTAGCTTAAGTTATTTCAATGCAAAAGAGCAGCAGTTCTACTCCAGGTTCCCTCCTGATATCTGAGCTGCTTACCCTTCAAACACTAATCAATGTCAGCTACTATATGATCTAATTTTTTAACCCTAAGACAAGCTCATGATCATGTGTGAGGATTAGAGAGTTGATACTTTTGTGTTGATAAAGCTTTGCATTGAAGCTTAGCTCCCTTTTCCACACAGTATAGTATCAGTTCACTAAAACATCTCCATTACTACTAACTTCACCCTCATTTATCAAAGGATTGCCTCCCTAAAGTGGTGCAAAGGTTGCATGTTCCTGCAACCATTTACCATTACCCCCCATATGTCGACAACACTCAGCTGTATGGTTCTCTCAGACCAAATAAGCCTCACAGTTCAGGTAATTTACTTACATTTCTCATGGATGCTAAATGCTGGATGTCTTAAAACTTTTAAACGCTCTATGAAGATACATCTGAAGTAATCATAATATTTGGTCATACCCAATCCTCCAGCCTTCTCTACAGGACACTAGGTCCACAAAACAACTGTAAATAATCTGGACGCCTTTTCTTTGAAACTCATGTCAAAATCATGTCCAATCTTTCTTTTTCCAAATAAATAATCCAAAACAAGATCCTCCATCTCACTCTCTTTACACAAAGTACTTCATGCTTTTATCTTTTTTTTTAGATTATTGTAATGTAATTTTAACCAGTATCACTCAGAGCTTCCTCCAATGACTCCATTAGTAAAAACACTGATTTCTATGGAACACAGAGGATAACCGGCACCAACAAATATATGCACATCACTCCTGTTCTTGCCAGCTCACACTGGCTGCCTGTTTAAACAAATTGATTTAAAGATTGTATTGAATACTTTAAATGCTTTAAATGGCCTTCACCCCAAATATTTAACAGATCTCCTGTATTTGCCTGGTCGTTCACTTAGATTGGTGGGTGAAGCGCTGCTGGTTGCTCTGATATCCTGGCTGGTTACAAAAAGTGACCATGCGTACGCAGTCAGAGGCCTCTGACCATGAATTTCTCTGCCAATCACAATGAGACAGTCTACATCTTTATCTTCATTTCCATTGGTAGGCTGCTCAATCCAAAGGTATCAGCGTCAGACACATTGCCCACGTGACAACAGGCAAAAATCAGTTCAACAATTCTTAATAAGAAAGATAAGAAAGCTCCTCCTATTAAAACTTACTTGATTCTAGAGGAGGGTGGGATGACTCTGGGATTCTTGGGATGTCTCTGTAAAAAGGTCAAGAAAGTCAGTGAATTCCTCAGTTTCCAAGGTATTGAATCTACATCAAGATGCTTGCAATGTAAAGACAGGTGTACATTCATCTTTAAAAAAAATGAATGAGTAAAAGGCTCATGGCAACCAACAGTTGCACGGCGGGGAAAAAAGCAAGCAGTTGATGTAATACACATCGACATCTCAAACACGATGGTTTGTAGGGAAGAGGAGGATGGTTTTCTCTTGGATCTTAAGATTTCAGGGAAAATTTTCATGAAGGGGCTCCACCTATAAACCAACTCTACTTACTGATATGCTCTATACACTTTTCTCAAGAAGTTTTTGGACATAATTCGGTGGATAGAGCTTTTAGATAAAGGAAGGAGACATATCGAAAGCATCTGTCAGAAAGTCAATACAATTACTTGAGCACTTTAGTAATATTAATCCATTGTTAACAACATTAAGTTTACCCTATAGGTCTTGACACAACAATTTCCACTTGAGGTTCAGCCTTGGATTCAAGGATAATGTTGTAAACTTCTTTCTTTGTTAGTCCAGGCAACGACTTCCCGTTCCACTGCAGCACTTCATCCCCTGGAACCAAGATGGTCGACACATAGATTACATCTTTAATCCACCCATCCATCCATCCCCACCAATCCATCCATCCATCCACCAATCCATCCATCCATCCACCCATCCATCCATCCCCACCAATCCATCAATCCATCCATCCACCAATCCATCCATCCATCCGTCCATCCATGCATTCAACAATCCATCCATCCACCAATCCATTCATTCATCCAGCCATCTATCCCCACCAATCCATCCATTCATCCATGCATCCATCCATCCCCATCAATCCATCCATCCCCATCCATCCATCCATCCATCCATCCCCACCCATCCATCCATCCATCCCCACCAATCCATCCATCTAGGCATGCATCCACCAATCCATCCATCCATCCACCAATCCATCCATTCATCCACCCATCCATCCCCACCAATCCATCCATCCATCCCCATCAATCCATCCATCCATCCCCATCAATCCATCCATCCATGCACCCACCAATCCATCCATCCATCCATCCACCAATCCATCCATTCATCCATCCATCCATTCATCCATCCATCCATCCATCCATCCATCCACCAATCCATCCATTCATCCATCCATCCCCACCAATCCATCCATTCATCCATCCATCTATCCATCCATCCATCCCCACCCATCCATCCATTCATCCATCCCCACCAATCCATCCATCCATGCATCCACCAATCCATCCATTCATCCATCCATCCATCAATCCACCCATCCCCACCAATCCATCCATTCATCCATCCATCCATCCAGCTCAATTTTGAACTTCTCATTAAAATGGGAATCCCAGGGACGAAAACAACATTTGTTCTGATGTATAAGTGGAAATAAATAGGGTTTGCTTTAGCAGCTGCTGACTAACATCTGAAAACTAACATTGAATGGTGCACCATTGCATGGAGAATGTGTCTTCCGATTTAGCCCACGAATGTTCCTTTTTCAACAAGATCAAATAATGTTGGCTATAATCTGTTCTCGTTTTTTTTCTTAAGAATCAAACTCCTGCTCTAATGTGACACATTGACCAAACAAAGCTTAAAGAAACTAAAAGCAATTCAATCCTTCCTTTATAACATTTTAAAATAATCCATTTGTATTCAAGTAGAAGATAGGAAGCCAGCAAGCTTCAAGTTCTTTGCTCAATTTTACTCCCATTATCGCATGAAGTTAAGTTTAAGTTAACTTTTTTAAGAACAATATTGTTGCCCTAACTGAATTACAGTACTGACTTACTGTACATTTGATAGAAAAATAAACTATCACCATTATAAAACAAGTACAGATAAAAGTAAAGTAGCTCCTGAAAAGGCATTCTTATTGGATTTATACCTGCTCGTAGGTGTCCCACGACATCTGCCAGGCTGCCCTTCTTAACTTTTGTGATAAAGGCCCCGAGTCTCCCTATCTCTGTCATCTTCCCTCCAACCACCTGCGCATTTTGGAGACAAAAGACAAAGGATAGGATCAGAGGTACATGCTGGATTCAGTTATTGTTCAACAGGCAATATTCAACATGCTGTGTGTGTACATGTACAGCACTACATACAAATATGTACACATTATTTAAAGCTAAGAGCGATCCTGGTCCAAATGTGATTTCCTTCCTGCTTACTTTTAGGCCAAGGAGCGAGCCAGCCTCCCGCGGCATGGCTGACCTCTTGCTTAGAGTGATTCGTCCGATTAGGTGGTCACCCTCCTTGGATGGCTGCCACGTAACTGGATGCTGCAGAAGAAGTTGTGAGGCATTGTATGAACAAACAGAGAACAAAAATGGTTGAAAGAAAATGGCAATAAGTGTTAAACCATTTGTTCATGAAGCTTTATGAGTAATTATAAGGGCATAACATAGCCCATCCTGTCATGAATCTGTTGTGTTTGCTTTAACTTACATGCCAAACTGTAGGATCTAGAGAATGACAATCCCAGTCACCTGTATGGAGAAAATGAAAAAGGAGGGAAGTTAGTTATGCTTCTCTGTCTGTACTAAGGACAAATGATTCTTGCATGTTTAGCAACTGTACATTATATGGTGTAGTTTATTTTCTATGAATTAAATACAAGTATGGGTTAATCTTCAAATGAAATGACAAACAGACTCAGACACAGTTTTGGGGCCTATCTTTCCTATTAATATTGACCCTTATTCTGATTCCACTGATTGCAATAAGAATTCAGATTGTATTGAAGTGAGTTGAAAAAAAAAGACCCTACTGCTTAGTAGATGAATTACCTCAGTAAACATTTTCTAATGACTTAATGGTCTTAGTCCCTTCTTTCAAATCATGTTAAATTAGGAATCATTATCATTTAATAAAAGTAGTCCGTTATCTTCAAGACTGACCTCTTATTTCTTTTTGTTTCCATCTTTGATCCCAACCTGATGTACATGTCACTCACAAAAAGTATGAGAATACCAGAGGGTGTCATCCTTTTGGAGGAGATCAAAATGTTGCCAAACTGTGACATGAAATTTTTAAAATAGCTGGTGATGAAGACATGGGATTTTTTGGGCTTATACCAATATCAATGTTAGGTGGAGAAAAAGTTAGATACCTGCAATATCTATGTTCGATCCGTAAAGATAGATAGATATACATATTTATATAGAATGTCCCTCGGGATCAATAAAGTATATATCTATCTATCTATATACACATTTATTGAGTTGATCCCTGAAATGCAGTTATCAAACACCTTTGGAAAAGATATTATAAACTATATAATGAAATGCTATTTGAGTGGTGAATACATCTAGTAATATCTGCGCATATCTGCAGAAAAGTCGATCGGGCTCTAATAAACTGAAAGACTGTAGATTTGTTACTTTGAAGATTCTCTAAAAATAGTCTTTACATTTTTCAGTTCGAAGGACAGACACTTATGTGTATTTTAAGTTTTGTCAGTTTGTACGTACATTATTCTAAATACTTCTAGAGGAGAATAAAAGTTGAGGGTTTTGTTTTATGTTCATTCTTATTTGGATTGCCTGACAAATCAACAATCAAAGGTGGAGCCTTGTAGAAGAGTAAGGTGTAGCTGAGATACCAGAGAATTTAAGGAATACTCATTACTCAGATCTATTGATATAATCTACACATGTTATGTGTGAAGTTTTTAGGAAAATAAAATATCTTTCATGATTTTAGAGGCTCTTAAAATATGACATGAATTATACAGAGTTATTTAAACGACTGATGTTCCCTGATTGGAATTTACAACCTCACATTGCTGAGCTTATCTTTAGTGTTGTAATGTTCATTTGAAAACAGCTGATAAAAACAACTTCATTCATAAACAAACTGATTCACTTCACTGTATGTTGGCAAGTCAAAATAAATTCTTGCCAGAGCCTGGCAGAGATAAAGACACCAGTCACTGTCATAGTTTCCCAGCTCTCATTAACACTGACAGATGGTCGGCCCAAGTAGAAGAACTAACTGGCCCAGCATCATCCGACCAGAGCAGCCTGTAATGTTCACGGCCACTTTTCCACCACAGGAATAAAACAACCACCAGATGGGGAAGGGGTAAGGAGTCTCATCATTCTTAGTCCGAGGGTAAAGGAAATGTTGATTCAATTGAAGTTTTTGGCAAAAAAGAAGTAAAGAATTTGAAAAGAGATTTCAGGTTTTGTAATGATTATGAAACTTGACTTCTGTTCATTAAAAACATCTTTAGAGATATTCAGTGGGAAACTAAAATAGAAAACAACTGCTCTGACAGGTCAACCAGGATGGGTGATTAAAAAAAAAGTCTCAGTAGACATGACTCGAGTGCTGCTTATCTCAAATCAAAAAAATCCACTGAGGATGCTTGAGAAAATAAAAAGCTGACTCTGCAGTTTGAACTTGCTGAGTCAGATTATCTGAGCTGCTCTTCTAACTGATGCTAGATCAAAGGATCAGCTCTCTGCAGGAATTAACATGGTATTGTTCTTGATAAATGTGTGTGTGTGTGTGTGTGTGTGTGTGTGTGTGTGTGTGTGTGTGTGTGTGTGTGTGTGTGTGAATTTGTGTAGGGGTTTGTATGGGTCATAGAGCACTCACTCTACAATTTTAGTCTCTGAAATGCACAAGCTTAACAAAATCCCTCCAATATTGCATATAAAATGCCTTACATCACCACGTCTTGAACTCCCTCTAAACTGATTAAGGCTCGCTTCTGCCACAATAAAATATGTTGTGTATTTTTCTGTATAATTTTAACTTAACTTTAAGGTCCAACCTATGCTGAACCATTAAAAACACCAGAAACCCTGTGCTGCAGTTGAACTCAGGAGGGCGGGTGTCCTGCTTCAAACGAAGGCTACAGTCCTCGACGCACTCGCCTCTGAGTCACATTGGCTTTGATCTTCCAGCACTGAGTCAAAAGACAAAGTGGCCGGCCTATGAATATCAAGCATTGAACCTGAAAAGGTAATGCGATATTTCTAAATGTACTTTCAGGTTAGCTTGTTCAAATAGAGAAACATTGAATCAATAATGTGTGATTGCAATTTAAAAATATACCAGCATGTGGGGCGCAGGATAGCCTAGTGGTGATGTCCTGTGCCCCATGTACAAAGTCTTCGTTGCAGCAGTCGTGGTGGGTTCAAATCCGACCTCGGCCCTTTGCTGCATATCCTCCTCTACACTCTCCTCCAGACACTTCCTGTCTCTCTTCAGCTGTCTTAAGCGATAAAGGCAAGAAGGCCCAAAAAATAACTTTAAAAAAAGTATACCAACTTGTTACTGGATTTGTTTAGCTGATAGGTTAGCAGTTTAGTTCAAGTAGGTGTAAGGTAGATGTCAAGATGCTAGCAGAGTATAGATTAGGCACAGCAGTTATGGGTAAGGTCAGACCACTTTGGAAAACTGTAAAAAAAAAAAAAAAAAACAGAATGAACTTACGCAACTAATGGAAACGTTTATTGATTTTACAGAGCGCTAACTGCCATGATAGTATACAAATGTATCCCTATAACATACCTGATTGTTGTTAGTGCAATGTCATGGTGTTAGGTCCAGAAGTTAAAATGTATCACAAAATTGATTTTGCCACTAAACAAGGCCTATTCTGAAGCACATTGTGTGTAACTTGAGGACCAGGCCTCAGATTGACAGACTGAATAAATAATAACATAACATTATACTGTGATTATAAGACAATTAAGACTGTATGAAGACTTTTGGAAGTATGAAAGTGAAACAAGACGCCTTTGTACCATTGGCTTGCATGAAGTTAACTTTAGCCAGCTGACTCCCCTAGGTTTAGAGCTCTGGGGGGGCAGGGATGGGGTCCTGTGAGTTGTTCCTGCAACTCCCGTTTCTGAGCGCACCTGAATGCATCTCTCATTGTCTGAGCACCCCTGATTGCAGCATGCTAACAGCGCATCCGCAGAGTAACGGCAGAGAGAGAGACATGCCCAGAAAAGTCTGAATTCAACTTGCCGTTGTGTAAATAAGATATTTAACATAAGGCTATTAAGTTTGTTTAATAAAAGGAGGAGGTATAGACCTGTTCTATAGGAAAGGTATCCTTATGACTTCTGTAGTGATCTGGTGCTATATAGAAAATAAAAATGAACTTGACCATCAAGGGGCGCGGGGGGTGCCATTGGGCAGGCCGCCCCCCCTAATATATTGGTAGGGGAAACACTGGAAGAGGAATGTGTTTCCAAAATTGACATTACACTTTAAAGTATTACATATTATCAAATACTGTTTGAATTGTTTCCTATTTTTGGAGAAAGAAAATGAGTCTGTTTAAAAAAGCAATAATCATTTAGGTGATGACCTTAACAAGAAACGGCAGATCAGCCAGAATACAAACCAGTCCAGTGCCATCCCAATACAGGGTCCTGTTTATGTCCCTCTCCACATCACCACTAGCTGCACTAAAACATTCAGACAGGGAAAGTACAAAAGATGGTTTCATGCTGATTCTATGGGGACTTCTAAGTAATTGATGTTAATAATACACACAAACACACACGCACATACACACACATACACAGGCAGTGGCTATTGGGCAACAATCTGGGACATGGTGTCATCCCAAAACCAGACTTCCCCTTTCTATTTCCTCTCTCCATTATCACCTTTATGTATTTCTTTACACCAAGGAAGAAACACAATTACTTTGAATCACTCCCTTCTCCCGTTTTACTCTAAAGCTGCCACATCATTAAAACCTCAATCTGTGATATACACTTATATCTGATGGGATGCAGTTCATCTATAGGAAACAAAAGAGTCAATTCTGTCAACATAATCCTTCTATGGGGACTCTTTAAATGTATAATCTACTGTTTTGCATGAAAATTACATAACAACATTCTCTTATTCATCATGTCTGCTTTGCAATGAAAAAAAAATAAAAGCTTGTAATCTGAGCCATAAGCCCCTTTTTCGATCGCAGAAACTTTCAACCGGAAATGGGGACCTTTTGAAGAACTATTGGCATTCCGACCGCAGGAACCAGGATCTACATTTAGTTCTGGGGAGAAAGACCCTGCTCTGGAGGTAGTACTTTCCAAAGGTCCAGGGACCTTGGGGGGCTCACAGCTTTAGATTCCTTAAGATCACCTGCCATGTTGGAAAGACTGCAGCTGCAAGCCCATTTCTTATATTTTCATCGTGCTTTGACTCTGCAATTAAACTTTTTTTATTTTTTTGACAAACCGTTTTAACAAGTCAATCACTACCAGATAAAACACAGGAGCATTTGGCAAGAAAGCAGACACATCCCTCAGGAAATAGCAAAGACAATAAGAAGAACTTAAAAGCATAAAACATTTGATTTTGATGGCAATATGAACAACTCCAAATGAAAACTGTTGTTGCTCCATAACTGTTGATTATGCAAATGGTTGGAAAAGTCTTCGCTTCAACTTAAACCAGTGGATATCACGATACATGTGTTATGGCGCAATATACAGGTTGTAATGTTGTAAGCAAAGGGACATATTATGGCATAAAATGAACTACTCTGGAATCTGCATGTAAACTATTACTTTAAAATTGAAAAAGTGAAAGTAAGAATTACTGAACATCTTACAATCAACACTGGTGCACCACAGAATTGTGTACTAAGCCCTCTTGTCTATACGCTTACAGCACACAAGTTTGCCAATGACAGCACTGTCAAATGATGATGACTCTGCCTACAGGGAGGACGTACACTCAGAATGATGCAATCTCAACAAACTTCCGCTTTACACTTCAAAAACGAATGTGCTTATCATCAACTTCAGGAAACAGAACAAAACAAAAAACGTGCCCCTCTAACTAGATGAGGGATGGTGGAGAGAGTGACAACCTTTAAGTTTTAGTCACACACATCTACCAGAACCTCACATGGACTGAAAAAAACAACTGGCAAAGAAGGCAAAGCAGCATCTCTACATACAGTACTGAGGGCATTGAGAAGAACCAACCAATCTCGGCAGATGCTTGTGTCCTATCGCTGCTCAAACAAAAGCATAATCCATATGGTGTAGTATTGCCAGCTAAGAGAAAAAGCTCTGCAAACGGTCATAAACTAAGTACAGAAGATCACAAACTTACTATTACATTTCCTTGAAGACGTCTACAAAGTCAGATTTGAACACTGGACTAAAAACATAACATCAGATTCATGACACACTAAGATTTTCTCCGACAGTTTCTATCCCCATGCCATCAGAGAACTCAACTCAATTTCAAATGTATTAAAAAATGTGCTATATTAACATTGAGATGAAAGGCGTGCAATGACAAGTGACTTAAAAGATTGGTCTATGGAATGTGCAATATTGACTTCTTTTTATAGTTAGTTATATTTCATTGTTATTCTATTGGTCAATTTTTTTATTTTAAATGTTTTTTTGTTTTTTTTTATTCTATGTGCCAATTAGGAAAGCACCCAATTGTGTCGCTCAGCTGTGCAATGACAAAGAAAGGCATTCTGTTTCTAATAAGGAGTTCTGATTAAAACAGACCAAAGCAATTGTTGTTGTTTTTTTTATTCTCAGCCCTGTGCCAAAGAAAGACAGCAAAAGAAGATAAAGTGCCAATAAAGGCACCAATGGAACCTAGAACTAATGAGAACACTGTGGAGAATGTGATGAAATCCTCTTTTTGTGTTCTTGTCATTTATTAACTTGAGCATTAGTAACAGCCGAACAAAGCTCTTTAAATTATGAAGCCATCTGTCTTTACCAAAGAGCCTTTTTCATTGCAGACACATAACATTGTTTATCATGTAACATTAACCTGCAGTAACACCAAGACCATCTTGACATCAAAGCTTCTCTTGCCCAAACTGTCACATCGAACTATCACTGCTCAGCAAACACTGAAGCATAACACCATAACTTTAAAAAGAATGCTTTTTTTTTTTTTTTTTTAAAGCGGGAATACTAGACCTTGTGTTACCATGGAAACTAAACTTACTGCTAAATTTAACTAACTTGCTTCATGCCATAAATGAGAGTATAGGCAGACATCAGGTTGAGGCCCAGCTTGCCAAAGAATGTTTAAAACAGCTAATAAACTCAATCCACACCATCTCCTCATTACCAGTTCCTGAGTTATAGTAATCTGGATTAAAACATCTGGATCAATCCCCTTATAAGCTGCTAGAGCACAGCTAACTCTACCTACCGCCCCTCAAACTAACACTAACATGCTGCTTTTAGTATTCTCAAGAATTACTCTGAGCTGCAAACATACAATAGGATCTAGAGCGATAACTCTTCAGTGTGCAAACAGCATCATGCTAGGTTTAAGCTAGCGGTCCACGGTTGGTTGACGCAGCTGGATGATTCTTAAGTATTACGTAGCATGCAAGCCACTGGCCTAATTCCACAAATCTGCTGGCCTAAATCACAGGGACTCTCCAAATAAATGAGAGCTGTCCTGAGAGCAGTGAGGTTTTAGCCACAGCATAGAGGTGTAGATGACACACAGGGATTGTGATGCACTGTGTACTGGGTGGGTGCTTCATCCTGTCATATAATGTAAAGTTTTTGAAGTCCCAAATTAGAATGTGCCGGTATTAGAATAATCCCAGGAGCAAATATATCCTAGCCTTTTTTTGAGCATTATGGTAAATCTACTACCAAAGCTATTTTGGAGGCCAGTTCCATGAAGTGTTTGAAGAGAAAAATAGATCTATGGTAGGATTATGATGTTCTTATTTTTACTCAGCTGTTATATGGTCATTGAATCTTTGGGACCATCTTTCATCTTCACAACCTCAACAATTCGGTAAATACATCTGATCGTTTATCAAATAATTTAATTCAGATCTCTCAAATTCTCAAGAGTGTCATCTGCGACAATTAGCCATCAAATCTTTCAGATGTGTTTTAACTCCGCCCACACTTGGTACACAGTGGCTGGTACAGGCAAAAATCTGGAAGTGTTCCTGTCAGTGATGAGACAGACTGAGGATCACATGTTCAGATCAAGGAGTTGGCTGTTCACAACTTCTGATGGTTTAGAAAAAAACAACTAAGAATTCAAGCTAGCTTAAGCGGTAACTTTAAGGAACAGTGTTTTAACGCAAGGAAAAGGATGACAGCAGACCGTGCAAGGTATGCAACTTTGGCTATATTTAGCTAAGTAAGCTAGTGGAGTGAACACATCTGTCTGACTGACCTTTCTCACTGACGCTTTCCATGTCCACGTCCTCACAGCTGGTGTACTCAGGCGTGGAGCCACCCTCCTCTTCTGAGCTGCTGATGGACATCTGCCTCTTGTTGACTCCGCGCTTGCTCTTGTACGTCCGCGGAGGGGGCGGCCGCAAAGACTCCGACTGGTCCGAGCTCTGAGAGTCCTTCCTCAGCAGGTTCTCCCCACTCTTGTCCCTTGGTGTCCGTGTTGTGCCGGGATCCAGGCGGCCTTTGTTAGGACCCCAATCTGGAGGCACCGGCGCCCCAGGTTGAGGTCCTGATCTCACTCCACCTCCGGCTGGTGGAGCTCCCCCTCCAACCCCCACGGTCCTTTCCACAGAGTAGGCTCTGTGGTTCTCCAAACCGGCTTTGCGGTCTCCCTCCCTACCTCCAGCCCTCCTTGCCAGTCGGTTCTCAGGCACCTCCCCTGCACTGCCTCCTTCAGGTCCCAGTCCCACCTCATTGATCGCCAAATCACTATGTCGTCTTTCATGGCGGACCTTGGACACCTTGGCATGCATGCGCATCTCCTGCTCCTCTTTCTGTGGTTTTACTGGGTACCGTGCCAGGTTGGGGTCACTACGGTAACGATTCTGAAACTCCTCCTCGCGGCGCTTGCGTTCTCTCTGCTCTTCGTCCTCCGGGCGTCTCCGTTGGGTTTCTGAAAAACCAAAGTTCTCCTGCCCTTCCTCGTAGTCCTGAGAATGGATCTTCTCCAGCCTCCGTCCGTCTACTAACCGCCTCTCTCCTTTGTCCCCGGACATCACCCTCTCATCCAGGGACGACTGAGACGGCAGCTTCCCGGCAGCTCTGCGGCCACTTCCCCGCCCCGTTCCTCCCTTACCATTTTGTTCATGGAGGGACACTGGCCTTTTCCTGAATAAGAGGAGCATTAATATAAGAATGCATCATGTAGTCTAAAGACAGGTTTGAAGGATTTGTTAAAAATAAGATTGGAGACAAGTTTTTTTTGTAGAGAAATGTCCTTTCGTCACTTTAGATGAATGCAATATCCAAAATAAATCAAAGAACTTAAGACACATATCTGTGACCTAGCTTCTCCATTGGTTTAACTAGCACAGACACAGATCTATTTTTTATCCGAAGGGATTAAAAAACAACAGGAGCTTTAGCCTGTCTCCGCTTTCTCAGTTTTTAATAAATACAGTTCTTGATCTCAAAATTCTTCAATAAATAAAAGGGCATGAGTTGTACATGTGAAACATCCTGCAGTATCTGCAACATGCGTTCAGTGTGTGTATCTTTATGCTTACTTTTCTTTAGGTGGCTCGCTTTGTGACCGTGTGCCAGGCATGTTGTCAGCACCCTTGGCAGCAGTGACGCCAGAGGGTGGCTGTGTCCCGTCTTGCGGCCCTGGGTTGCCAGAGGACGGGGCTTGGGATCTGGAGCGGAGTAGTTTCCCGTCTCGTTGAGCCTCACCTCCTCTGGCTAGGTTGTTTAAGGAGGTGCCCAGGCTCCCAGGCCGCACCCCTGATCCAGAAAACCATTCTCCTGATTTGGTGAGAATCTCCTGCTGTTTACGGCACAGGTTGCATACCCACATCACCTACAGGAAGGGGGAGAGACAAAAGGGTTTGCATGGTGGGCTCAGAAGCATGAAAGAAAACTATTAAACACATAGTGGATAGGCATGCTTGGACCCATAAAGCTGCAGGATCGTCAACATTCAACTGACACAATTTATTCTTTTGAACATACAGCCTTGCATCGCAGGAATGAAACGCTGTAAACTTCATGGGATTTGTTTAATCTAATAACTCTCAAAAACATTGAACACCTCACATTAATTTTTATATTGCCCCATATGCTTTCCTGTCTCTAACCTATGCAACAGCTTTTTAAGATATCAGAGTGTTTCCATATGGCTAGTATGATACATTACCATTTCAAAATGTTTATAATCTGAGAAGACAAATGGTAACGGCGAAGTTGAAGTTCTGTTTTGCTTTCTACAAAAACTATAGGCGCTTTAGAAGTCATGGTTCACCTCTGCTCTGATGCTAGCACTGCAACCTTTTTGACTTCTAATACAAATTATTTCAAAATAAAAAATAATATAAAAACAAATACTGGAGAAGCCCTAAATAATATTGTACCAAATAAATGTATATTTCTTCCATCCAAAAGAAAAGGAACAAAGCCATCCTCTTCAGTGCATTGCTCATCATGCTGGTAATGATTTACTGTCATTTAGCTATTAGAAATGAACGACTGTAAAGTAGGATTGATGAACAGAGCCACATACAGAAGGCATTATTGAATTGTATTACTTCTCATACTACATGAAATCCATGGAGAGGCATCAGATACTCACATGGAGCCATGGCTACTGAATATCACCTCACTTCAGCAGCACAAAAACAGGATTTATCTCCCTCCGTATATAATCCCAGCGGTTTATTTTCACTAAAATAAATCCAGAGCATAGAAGAAGAAAAAAACACAATCGTCTCTTGTATTCCACTCTGCACAACCTTGGCTAAAGTTAAAAACAAAACCACCACTGGGAACTCAAGAAACCGCCAAAAATGTTCCTCCTTGACGGTCAGTGGGACTGTTAGCACACAGTTAGCGGTTAGCATTTAGCCTTCAGAGCTCCAAAGCACATTCATCATGGCCTGATTGAATCCCAGTTGGCGCACGTCCAGACTAATCTAAAGTAAATCAGCAGCCCGCACGGCCCACAGCTGTCCTGCAGACATCCAGCTGCAAAATACTCTCTCTCTCTCTCTCTCTCTCTCTCTCTCTCTCTCTCTCTCTCTCTCTCTCTCTCTCTCCCCCTGACTTTCTCCACCTCTTTACCTCAACGGAGGGGCAACAGATTAGCAGTGGGCAGTAATCCCCTTCGGCTCCTCACCATTATTCAACCCATCATCAGCTGACAATACCAGCTCACAAATCAGAATTTCCAGCTTATAACCCCCCCCCCCCTCAGGCACAACTATACAGGTTTCAAATTAAGACCAGAAGAAGCACCAACCCCCTTCAGTCTTTTTTCCCCATTGCATGGTGGGAAATAAAGTATCAGCTTCCTCATCTACATGAACTGCACAATTTAAAACTATTTTTCTTATGTACATTTATGTAAAATCCGTAAAGAAAATGTAGGTTTCATATCCATAGTTAATGCAGGTAAAGCATGTTTATACCATGGATTAAAATAACTCAAGGCCAAGCTGATGTTGCAAAAATGTCATACACTAAAACTATACTAGTGAAACACATGTGATTTTTGTATGTTTAGAATGAACATCTCATGGGATCTCATCTGAGATGTAAGCAGTCAGGCATTTCTGATAAACTGTGTGTCCTGAAATCATTAAAATATTGTGCAAAATGTTATAACCCTATTTCTCAGTAAGGGATATCAAAAGCTCAGAGCAACTGATTTAAAAAGATTTAACATAACTTTAACTGATAGAGTGAAGAGTAAACATTGCACCGGATAGAATCTAAACTGATCCATTTACAGATAGTAAATCATTGCCATACAATAGTTTAAATGTAGACGAAAACCCAACCATGCAAAACATAATTATGCTGAAACAAAGAGATTTGTATTGCTATTTTACCCATATTTTTTTTTAAAAGGGCTAAATTGTCTTTCTTACTAAACGTTTGTACCATCTGCAGGACTGTAACATTTTTGCAACCCATCATTTCTGTGTGTTACTCTGATGACCAGTGTGTTTCTATAGGATGCTTTTCTAGAAGCCGTTAGTGGAGTAAATGCTGTAATCCACAAGCTTAATCCTTGAGTGAGAACTTCATATAGAAGAACAAACATCATGTGGAACAAGAGGCTGTGTGTGTTATTACACCAAACAAATGCAGAATCACATTTTATAATGGCACAGCTCCATGCGTTTGATATGTGCTTTAGAGCATACAGCACAGATGGGGGGGGTAGAAAACAATGAAGAAGTTAGATACCACATGGGCACACACGCACGCACCCACACACACACACGCACAAAGGGTATTATACATATAATCCTTCATTGGAGTGATTGTGCTCTGTTTTCCTGGATAGCCTGAAAGATATCACAGGGGGAATTAATTATGTGTGAACTGATTGTGTGTATGTGTGTGTGTGTGTGTGTGTGTGTGTGTGTGTGTGTGTGTGTGTGTGTGTGTGTGTGTGTGTGTGTGTGTATGTGTGTTCATGTACATAAGAGGCAGAAGCTCCACCCTATAACGTGTGTGGCACATGTATTCTCAGTGGTGCCTGCTGCTGGACGAGCCGGAGTGTGATGTCAGACCCTCAGCCAGCTAAGCCAACCAATCAAGTCACTCCGTCCAGAGGCAGCCCCACTCTGGTGTCAGCTCGAGTTCATCTCTCTGCCTCGCTGCACGCTGTGGAGCGCTGTGTGCCGTGAGAATGAGTTTGTGTGTGTGCATGTATGTGTTCAGTATGTATAGAGGACATTTCTGAAACCTTCTTGCCTAGAAGACGGAGTGTGCCGTAGGCGACTGCCTGTAGGCGAGGTGTGTGTGTATGCATGTGTGTGCATGAGTGCATGTGTGTTGAGAATATGCAGTGCCATCTCTCTCATGAAATTATGTCAACCTCCTTCTTGCCTAAAAATGTGCTTCTCCATGGTAACCAAACCACAGAAAACAACCACTGAGAAAAGGGGAACAAAGCAGTGTGTGCATGTGTGTGTTGTTGTGTGTGTGTGTGTGTGCTTGACAAAGTAAGAAAAATAGAGTGTGTGTCACCACTCAATGACAATGACAGCAGAGGGAACTGAAGCAAACTGCACTGATGCATTTAGACTTTCTTAAGCCATTGCATTAAGATAAAATATAAATATGGATATCATACCATTTATTTAAAATAATTGTGCAATTCTTCAAACTTCCTTCCGAGCCGTTACCAACATATTCTCATAAACGTCACATAAACATAAACACAAAATTATATCATAGTACAATTTTATCTTCCTCTAATTAATAAAATCAATACTATTTTTTGTTGCTGTTATTGTTAGTGTTTTTATTTCCTATGTATCACTGTCTATCCATTTCCTTTTCCTTGCTGCTGTTTGAGCTGTTGTTCATTTCCTCCAATGGGGAATCAGTGCAGATCATCTATCTTCCTGTCCCTTTGCTCTCCTCACATTATTTTTCTTTTCTATCTTCCTTTCTTACGGTGTCTGTGGTACAGAGTCACAGTGACAGTCATATGTATTCATATGATGAAGTGTCCTTGGGTAAGACACTGAAACCCCCAAAAAATGTTCCCACTGCTCTGCCATCAGTGTGTGAATGTGCTGTGGATGGGTGAATGTGACAGATAAAAAGCGCAAAAAAGTCAGAAGAACAGAAAAGTGCTATAAAAGTTCAAGTCTATGAAGCATTCTACTCCCCTTCCCTTTTCTCTATTCTACTTCTTTCACATTTCCCTCCTTCACTCACCCTTTTACCGTTCCTTTGCCTTTCTGTTGCTTCCTGGCCTTTCTCTTCTTGCCCATTATGTCCAATTCCTTCCACTCCTTGATTCTTTTTCTTTTTTCTACCTCCCCATCCCCCCTTCCATTTTTATTCCATTTCCTGCACTCAACTTTATCCATTTATTTTTCTTATTTCATTTCTCATCCCCCTCTAGCACAGCTGACACACCTGGCCGACTTGACAAATGAAGACACCACACACCTGCCACTCATACGTATCCATCTCACACCCCTTCCTTTCATCTACCGCCCCCCAGCAATGCTCCATCCATCTGCTGACAAAATGGTGAAGACGTTTGTTGCTGCCGCAGCTCAGCCAACAGCGGTAGCATTCAACAGCCGCTCCCAGCGAGAGCAGCATTCATTTAGCTCTGGATTGTGTGAACATCAGCTTTTTTTCTTAAAATGGGCTGAATAGATGGGAGCGGGGGGGGGGGGGTGAAGGTGTGGTTGGCTTTCAGTGAGAGTGTGCGGTGACCCTACCAACAGCACACACATGACAGAATGACATATGATGCAGCGCTGGGTGTAAACTGCCATCGTTAAATGAATGGTAAATCTCGAATGGTGGGATGAAGAAAGACGGCCGCAAAAGACATAATGCTCCATTTCCTCTAATAAGGTAGTAGATCAACTCTGCAAGCAGGCCGAACACATTGGAGGAAGGCTGAGTGCAAAGCAGAGCTTTGGTGGCTGTAAATCCAAGCTGGCTTTACATTTCTGATCTTAAGATCATGGAGAAAAGTCTCCAGCTGCTTTCTGTCCTCTACATCACTGAACAAGTAAGCTAGTTCAAATTAAACAACAATACTATAGCCTATGTTCTATGACTATTAATGCATTCCAAATACTTTGACTTTTCTATTTGACTGGATTTAGACAGAAAAAACACATTCAGTAAGAACAAGGTTTGGGTTGAAGTTCATCTGAAAGGCAATAGAAACAAATCAGAAGTGGTAATAACAAGAGTCATTTGTCTTTTGAACGAGGTTGACTGACCCTGGTGAAAAATAAAAAGTGGCAAGAAATAGTGGGCAGAACACATTTAGGTCAAAGTGCATTTTGGTTGTTGACCAATACATCCATCCAC